ATTACCACGAAATAAATGCTGAATGCATTTTAGCCCTCGCTTAATAATGTTTCGTTTCGAAATTGAGTTTCCATTATTCCGATTTTTTTATGTTATATGCTGATCAGGCCATGTCCGTTTATGAAATTCAATGTGCCGACGCGGAGGGATGTCCACATTCGAGGCCGAGAGGTCGGCGGCGCAAAATGTAGCCAGTAGAGGATTGAATAGACGCGAGCGTGTTGGGCATTGTCCGGCATAACTAAAGGAGGGTCCTTTGTGATTTACGACGTTACCCCGGAGGGTCGCAGTCGTCGGCCCGACCGGACGATTTATTTTCACATCGGCGATGTCGACCTGGAAACTCCCCTTAAGGGGGCGACCCGGTTAGCGAGGCACCTTCGCCGCGCACTTAGGGATGTTAGGACATCCCTATATCAGATAATTAAATTGACGAAAATAAATAGTATATACGTACTATTATTTTTGTCGACGTAATCGGATATATGTGCCCATAATTATGAAAGTGGTCTAAGTGAAAATTAAAAAAAAAAAATTAGTTTATCAGTTATTTCACGCCATATTTCAAAGGAAATTAATTCAATGTAATTTCGAAACAGAAAATATATGACTTAGACCACTTTCATAATTATGGGCACATATGTATACTGTGGAAAGTCCCCTTAAGGGAGTGACTCCGTTAGCGAGGCACCTTCGCCGCGCACTTAGGGATGTTAGGACATCCCTATATCAGGTAATTAAATTGACGAAAATAAATAGTATGTACGTACTATTATCTTTGTCGACGTAATCGGATGTATGTATACTATAAAAAGATGAAGAGTTTATTATCAATGCCTTGGAAACTCCCCTTAAGAGGGTGACTCCGTTAGCGAGGCACCTTCACTTCCCCATTAGGGATGTCGGTACATCTACGTAATGAAAATAATTGATACGCTCATGTAAATAGGGACTAGGTGTGTATATACGACACTTTCATATCACCTTAAGTCGTTCGCAGGATATTGTTTCCTTAAGGGCCAATAAAGGTGGCCCCGACGTTGAAAGAGAAAAGAAAAGCAAAGAGGGATGGAGAAAATGACAATAACGGCGACAGCCGGTGAAACAATTACCGAGCATCATTTTTCCCGGGGAATAAATGGCGGGACAATCAACGGGCATCATTTTGCGGTGATAAAAGGCGAAGAAGGTACGACCGAGAGACAATTATCAGAGGTCGTGCCTTCTTTGCAGTTTCGCCGACCGCGTCGGCAAAATAACGCTCCTGAAAGTTGGGCAACCCTTTGTCGGCAGCCGAATAAAAAGGAGGGAAATGGGAAAAGCGGGAAGGGAGGGTAAAAACGACCGCGGAGAACTCTCCCGACCGTTTTTCCCTCCCCCGATTTATTTTTCTCGCTTTCCTTTGACGCCCTTGTGACCAGCCTTTCGGCCGTGTTTTCCGTCGGATAAAGCGGAGGGAAAAGGGAAATAAGTGTTATCAGCTAGGAGCTACGATTGACGGGGAAACCTCCCACCTGTGGTGGGTTTCCCGGCCGGGAAATTGGTCCCCTCCTTTTTCCACTCTCTGACTTTTAAGGTGATGTGAAAGAGATTTTGTTTATAAAACTTCTCTGAATATGAAGATTTTTTATTAATATGAAAAACGAACATTCATGAGGAAATTGACAATTTTCCAAGTACAAGTTTCTAAGTGGAACCTCCAACGAAAGGAAAGTCGAATGTCTATTTCCTGTTTCAAATAATTTTTTTTTTTTATTAATAATAACTTTGCGGTCGCCTTTGACCACATTTTGGTCACGAAGGGCAGTTTCCGGGTTTTTCGGCCGCAACTTTGAAGGTTTTATTTATATATATATATATACTGCCCCGAGAAAATCACGCGATTTGTGGCACGCAAGTGACGCACGTGGTGCACGTGACGCACGTGCTCTTTGCGGCCGCGACGAGACCGACGTCCTCGTTTCAAGTTCCTCGGCCAGCACGTGTCTTTGGATACCTCGACACATGCAACAACATCCTGGAAACCGGAAGTTAATCCCGAAAATGCATTCCCGACTGCAGATGGTTTCCGGCGACCTTAAGCAGACTGCAGGAAAAAAAAAGAAAAGAAGAGCCCCTTCGGATTACTTGTACTCCTCTACCGGGATTTGCCACGGCGAAGCTTTTCTACCTTTTTTTTCTTTTCTTTTCCTTCTTTTTCCTTTTTTTCCTTATACAGCAGATTTAACCTTTTTACGCGCGCGTATTTTTTCCTCCCGAGGCAGCAAAGTGGATTTCAGCCCGCGGTGCAGTTTATGGCTCGTAATCGCGGATATTTGGACGGGGATTGGAATTCGCAAAAAGAGAGCCTTTTTTTTTACCCTCCTTTTCTCCTGGTTTTTTTTTTTTTTTTTCCTGCGCTTTCGGTTTCCAGGAGGAAGCACGTCCTTAGGAGGAGGGATCCTTGGGGAATGGATTCTCTGTAAGGGCCCTTTGGATTTTATCTCTTTCGTGTTTCTGTTTTTTTTCTTTTTAATAGTCGGCGGAAAACATTTTTCTTTTAACCCCTTGAGCGCGGAGCCATTCGTCATATGGGCGAAATTCCTCTGACCGTGCAGGCGATATTCGACCAAACGTCGGACGTCTTTAGGCGCTCTTAATAGCCGAAGGGTTAAATAATATATTTCTTCGGTTAAATGCATTTTTATTTTCGCCATATATTTTTCCATTCCAATCCTAGGGATTTTTAGTAATTATTGAATACTTACATGTTTGATATATTTAAATGGTATATTATTGTTACTATTTTCGGAACGCTCGTAATTCCGTAATCTTAAATTCCTGGACTCGGGGAATCCGGTAACAAGTTAAATGAATTTCGAAGGCGGCTTAAAAAGTCGATGACGGGGCTTTAGGGCGGAAGAAGAGGGATCGCCATCTGCCTTATCTCGTCCCCCATGGAAACCGCCATGAGAACCGGCCGCGGCGTCTCTTCAACCTTTCGGGACCACCTGCGAGAAAGTGGCTCCAGCCGGTCGGCTCATCTTCCTCCTGGACCTTCTGGACCTTCTCCTCGCCGAGCTTTACGTTTTCATTTTCGTAGTGGGCTTTAACTTTATCCCCTCTCCCTCCGTCCCATAAATCCGAAGGCACGTTTGCTGAAATTACGGGGGGGAAAAAAAACACACTAATTACCTACGTAAATAAAATACGAGTGTTTACTAAAAAACCGCTTATATCGCTTATAATTTAATGCATCCGTAGAATATATATATATATGTATTTTTTTTTATTTTTTTTTAATAACATCTCGACATTAGGCTTGCGCGGTCTGCGCGCGACTGCTGCGGCGGCGTTGCCGCGTCCTCGGCCGCGCGCGGCTATATATACGGCGCCGCCGAGGCAGTGACTCTCATTAGGGCGGCGGCAGCCGTGGGAGGAGGACGGGGAGCGGCGCCCGGTGAGTGAGATGTCGCCGGTGCGAGAATTGCGGTCAATTATATCGTCCAACCGTAATGACGCGTAAAGGTAGGAACGCCACTCCGTAAGAGTTATGGTTATGCCCTCCCGGGTGCATCGAATGTGTAAACGGCTTGAGGGAAATGCGTTACAACTGCGAAAGAATGTTACGACTTGTCCCGAGCGTGGTGTATATCACCTTAGAAAAGGAAGAAGATAAGAGTGCACCCTTGGGGCTCTTTATGCACTTTCGAATCTTCCCCTAGGATATAATGATACTTGAAGAGGAAAAAAAAGAGTACCCGGAAATACGGTAACTCGATATTCAATTAGACTTACTCACTGTCTGGAGGGAATTGATAAGGCTTCGGTTCGGTGCACTCGCAGGATGGCGAAGGGCTTATGAAATACATCTCGTAAGGGATCTTACAGCTTATTTCAACGGAAGCCCTACAGACCATGGGGCCCCATAGAATGTAATACTCACCGTTAATTCCAATCTCGTCGATTATCTTCCCTAGAAATTCCACTTTCAATCCTAGACGTTATTGAAATGTCTATGGCGAGCATGGACTCGAATGTCGTATGCAAATGATTGAACGCGGAGCCATTTCGACATATGGGCGAGATTCCTATGACCGGGCAGGCGATATTCGACCAAACGTCGGCCCCCTTTAGGCGCTGTTAGTAGCCAAATAATTTAATTCGGGATGGCCGGGGGCAGTAATAAAGAAAAAGATTTTTCGTCCTCTGTTTATTACCGTGTAATAACCATTTTTTGGTACGCTTTACGGAATTTGGCGGATTTATCGCCGCTGTTTTCTAGGCGTCGCCATTCTTTTTAATCGCGTGTAATGTATTATGCAAACTGAATAATTCCACCGCGACTCATTAAATTTGCTAATTCGGTCTTTCTCGGGTTTCGCGGGTCAGTTTGCCTAATTGTGACAAATGCGGGAGTTGCTTTTATTGTTCTTTCCTGACCTACGACTTTGCCGAGGCTCTTTGTGCCTCTTTATTTACCTAAAGAGTTAAATAATATATTTCTTCGGTTAAATGGATTTTTATTTTCGCAGTGTAGAGGAAAACTTTCGTTTAATCTCGATTTCGAAATGTTTCTTCCTTTTCATATCGCATACCAGTCGAACACGGAGTCATTTCGACATATGGGCGAAATTCCTCTGACCGTGCAGGCAATATTGAACCGAACGTCGGGCACTCTTAGTAGCCAAAGGGATAAAAACTGGAGAATTTTCTGCGTCATAGGGATTTGTTGATTGTTCCGTGGGAACTCCGAAAATAAAAATAAAAAAAAAAAGCCTTTTGAAATCAATACCACGCCGAGTGAATCCGAGTCGGAACTGTTCGGTATTCATTTTTCATTTGCTCGGTGTACATTACACAGGGTGTTATTTCCAGTAAAAAAAATTACTCGCTGTTCGGTTAAATTATAAAATGTACTACCGGAATTTAATATATATCCCAGTTATTAATCCGAATCGTTTTCCAATTCGATAAGAAGTATTCTTATATTCATGACATTGTTTATCTATTTGTTTCAGTTAATCCTGGGCCTATCCGATGGAGCCGTTCTCTGAGGAAGGTAATTCCCTGTTTATGATTAAAGGTATGTGAAAATTGTGATAAGAGATGGAGGGGCTCTTCTTTTTTTATTGCATTGAATAAATCTTCTGGGGGCGGGAAAAATTGATAATGGAGCGCTATGGACCCATAAGGGCGTCCGACGTTTGGTTCAATTTTGCTTGCACGGGCTGGCGAAATTCGCCCTTACGCCAAAAGGTCTCAGCTCTCGAAGGGTTAATATTAATGCCATTTCTCGCGAGTCCCTCGGGAATTCTTCTAGCCGTTAAGTGGCATTATCGGTCACGACTCGAAGTTGATTCTTTAGTCAGAGAAAGTCATGGAAGTTCCTCTTGGAGTCCATCGGTGGAGTCGTCAGAAGAAGTAATGGCGGGAGTAAAGTTTAAGCTCCGAACGCGCCCTAAGAAAAAGCTGTTAAATAAAACTAGTACAGCCCCGGAGTGCAAAGTTAGGCTTAAATGGAAGTTAAACACCTAGGGCAACTGTAAGGGGTAGCTGAAGAAAAAGGACCTGGAAATTCTAGCTCTGCTTCTCATTGCTCCATACCCTGACGAACAACATTCAAGTTCCCTCCGGACTTTCGTTAAACAAAAAGGACCGAAGGAAATGTGTCCGAAACTCTTGACTCCAAAAGCGAGCCCGTTAATTGCACGCGGGAAAAGATTTTCTTGAATCGTTCTTTTTTTTTCCTTCAGTACGGAGCTCTTTCGACATATGGGCGAAATTCCTCTGACCGTGCAGGCGATACTCGACCAAACGTCGGGCGCTCTTAGTAGCCAAAAAGTTAAATAATTTATTTCTTCCGTTAAATGCATTTTTATTTTCGCAGTTTAGAAGGTAACCTCCGTTAAATCTCGATTTCGAGGTGTTTCTTCTTTTTCATATCCCATACAAGTCATCGAGTAACCCTTTGAACGCGGAGCCATTTCGACATTAGGGCGAAATTCCTCTGACCGTGCAGGCAATATTCGACCTAACGTCCTTAGCCGAAGAGTTAAGAATGCAGTCCCTCGATTATGCGCGTCGGCAGTACTTTTACATTGTTACTACGGTTATGTACTAAACATGTACGAACTTTGTAAATATCTTTAAGAATGCTGCGCATTCCCATCGCGATGTGCAGCGCAGCATAACGCACCGCGCATTTCTCGGAGAGGAACTAGTGCTCTTATCTCGCACAATGGCCGTAACGCGGTATGCGCCATTACATTTATTGAAAAGCAATCGGCAACGCGAAACAATGTTAAGTGAGCACTTTCGAGTTGCGATACTAAAATTCCCCTTGAAAAATTATATTTAAAATCATCGCTCTTGTTACATATTTTCCTTGACAATATGTTATTATTTTTCAATCTACTTGTGTATAGGGTAGTGTATATTGAGGTGAGGTTTGATTGAGATTGCTAGTGTTGTGTAATTTTTTTTATTTTTTTTTTTGGTTGTTTAATATGCCCGCGGAAACTTATCAAGCGGAGTACCAAGATGGCCGCCGTTATTAGTTACACAAGTAGACGTCACTTTTTCAGATTAATTCCAAAGTGCGCGACTCTCGTGTCGTGGTCGCATCTTGGAAGGGGGGAAATGCGAGTTTAGGGAGGGGAAAAAAAAAAAAATGATTCCGCTTTGCTTTTGAAAAATGATATAAAGAGTCCTTTCTTTGCCCTCCTTTTGGCAGAGCCCCCGGTGATAAATTAGTTTCCTCGGCTTTTCCTTCGGGAGTTTAACCGAAACACCGTCTGCAATATTCATGGCGATTCATTCTTTGTTCCCTGATGAAAATTTCAATGCACGCCGAGGAGAATCTCGTCTTTTTAGCCCGCCAAAGAGATTTTACAAGGGCGCGGCTTGGCAATTCTAATTTTCGGGGAAAACATGGCGGAGAGTATATTAGGCACGCTGTTGGATATTATTAAAAATGGCCAGAGGTTTACGGATTATTAATTAAGATATTCCCATGGCACACTTTTTAACTGAATATTTTTCTGGTTCGTGAAATAATATATAAACGTATTGTTGTACTGTGCAAATGGCAAAGCGATGAATTTTTTTTTGGAATGGTACCATGGAAATGTTATGTTAACTCGGAGAATAATTATTTAATTCAAATTCTCATAATTCGGAATAAATGTTGCATATTCCTTTCAAAATTTTCAGCCAATAGGCTCTTATCAAGTTTTATGGTATCGCGGAAATTCACAAAAGCCCTTGCAAAATATGTATCAGTAATGAATTTTATTATTTTCTGTAGAAATAATTAATTTACGTAAATTTTTTATTATACAGAAAAAGGTTGTAAAAATCGAAGGTTACATATTCCTTCGAAATATCGCCAGCCAAAAGGCTCTTATCAATTTGAATGGCACCTCGGAAATGCGCAAAAGACGGCGAAAGAGCTCTTCGACTTAGGAGCGGCTCTCTTTTTCGCGCACCGGAAATTCGAGCATATGATACGCTTGCAAGTTTATTCGCGGTTGGAGGGGCTCTTAGAAGGTATTGAAAGATGCTGCGAGACGTGCATAAAACGTATCGACGTTTCGGTAGAATGTCAGGTCGCCTCGTGAAAACAGGAGCGGGCTCTTTGCCGGGATCAATATCTCAAAGACGTCACTGTCTTGCCGATACTTCCGTCCAAGTTTCGAGGACGAGGACACACTTCCACCACGTTGAAAAGATCGAGGAAAATATTTTCCCACTCTGCGGCACTTTAAATCACGCACCTGACCTCTTCTATATTTATTATGAATTTTGTAAGCGCACTTGACATTTTCTGTTCGGGGTTTTAATTTCTTTATGGTGGGTCTTGTGCTAGTAAGAGCGCCTAAAGGCGCCCGACGTTTGGTCGAATATCCCCTGCACGGTCAGAGGAATCTCGCCCGTATGTCGAAATGGCTCCCTGTTCATGGGGTCAAATCCTCTCAGAAATTCATAATAAATATACAAGAGGTCAGATGTATGATTTAAAGTGTCGCAGCGTGGGGAAATATTTTCCTGAATCTGTCGAGTACTACTATGCCATTTGGCTATTAAGAGCGCCCGACGTTTGGTCGAATATCCCCTGCACGGTCAGAGGAATCTCGCCCGTATGTCGAAATGGCTCCGGGTTCAAGGGGCTAAATTAAATAGAAGGTTGCGCTAAAGCACCCTTTATTCGGTCTTGCAGATATTTGCGGCTCTTGGATGGATGGTTTAGACCAGAGTCGAACTCGCCTCCACGAGCCGAGATAAATCTCCGGCCTCGTTTGGTCCTGCCGAACGAATCGCTCTCCTAATCATCCTCGGAAGCTGCTTTTTTTTTTTCTCCCCCGAGATCCATGCAGAAGAATTGCAAGAAGTCGGAAATTCGAGGTCCGATGAAAGTGCACAAACCGCGCGCCAAATACCGCAAGCTGGAGACGGGAATTCCGCACCTGGGAGCGAGCGGAAACTGATTACGAGTTGGGCGATAAAAAATAGGTATTGATAAAGGATTTCTTTTAAAACTGTATACAGCGTTTCGGTACGCGGAGATACAGTGAAATTGTAATTTCAAAAGCAATCTAAAATTATAATCCATCTTCGGTAACTATTATAAATTCCGCGGTTAACTCTAATCGAGCGTTAAGTAATCCTCGGTTAAGGATTTTAATTTCTGTAAATTGGAGTGAAATTATAATATATATATATTTTTTTTTACAGCGTTAGAGAGGGAGAAACCAGGAAAGCAGCCTTGTCCTTTCTGGAAACGAGAGAAGAAACGTCTGACTAATTTTAGATGACCGACTGGCGCCAACAGGACAGCACCAGCGGAAACCATTGACGGTACATTGTTAAAATTATCCCTGAGGTCCGGATTGGATTTTTAGACTCGAATCAGCAGAAATTCATCGTAAATTCATATTTTAATCATTTCTAACTCTCCTTACAACCCTGCTAAACCGTGCAGTGGAGTCCTTCCTCTTGCCTGCAAGATTCCTGGAAAGCTCTGTAGGGTATATTAAAACAAGGAAAAAATCCTGGAAAACTCTATAATGTATGTTAAAGCAAGGCAAAATTCCTGGAAGACTCTATAATGTATATTAAAGCAAGGAAAAATTCCTGGAAAGCTCTGTAGGGTATATTAAAGCAAGGAAAAATTCCTGGAAAGCTCTATAGGGTATATTAAAGCAATGCAAAATTCCTGGGAAGCTCTGTAGGGTATATTAAAACAAGGAAAAATTCCTAAAACAGTATGGATTAAATTAATGAGCAGTCTTAAGAAATTCCGAAAATCCGTATTCCAGTACGCAGGCGTCAGAAGATCGGCACCCCATCCGGTGTAGGATCTTCCCTCGGGATAAACCCTTGGAGACCAGCCCACGAGTCCCATGTCTCGTCCCTCCCCGGTGTCCGAGGACTCGCAAGCAGTGCCAGGAATCCTGTCGCCTGCCGAATCCTCGCAGGATGAGCTAGAGGGCCCGGACAAGGAGGAACAGGTGCCTCTCGCGAAAGCCTCGTGAAGGATCCCGGATGAAGGATCAAGAAGGGCCTTCCCCATCATCCAGGATGTCTTCAGCCCTGTCGATGCTGCTCATGTTGCCCTGTCTGGCGCTGGTCCAGGGCACCAACGAGGGAGGGCCGAACAGTCCGGTGTTCAACCTGGACCACACGGCGTTGGAGAAGAACATCGCAGCCATCTTCAACAAAGTAGCCCACAGTTCAGCGACAACAAAGCGAAGCGTTCCGGCATACGAAGCGCAAGTATCAGCGAGCACGACCTTATCAACGGCGCCCTCGCCGTTGACGACGACGACGGCGATAGCCATAAAGAACCCAATCCCCCGGGCAACGATGTCGCCGGCATTTCGGGAACTGCCGACGTATGTTCCCCCATCGAGGGCTTTGTTCACGCCGTCCTTGCCTCCGGACTTCCTGCACCCCTTCGCCGATAAGCCGACCTTGAGGGGGATGAACTTCGACTCGCACTCAGGGTCCAGGAGGCCGGTTCCTCCTCCCAGCCTGACCCCGGCCCACGAGAGGATCCCCATAAGGCCCCCTGACCTGGTCCAGGGTCCGGAGAAGCCCTCCACCTCCAGGAACAAACCCCTGAACACCCCCAGCAAGGAGCAGAAGTACGCGGAGCCGGAGGAACACGAGAGGCGGAACACCAGCAACGAGTACGTCCCGACCCTGCACTACCCGAGTATCTCCAGGATCCTCCTGGGGAGCAGCGGGAGGAAGCAGGACATCCCGGAGATCCTGCTGAAGCCCCTGTCGACGAGGGCCCCTTCCCAGTTGGTGCCCTCCGCGACCACCACGGAGAAGATCCTGGTCACCACGACCGTGGGCTCCACCACGAGGGCCCCGAAGACGGCTACTAGACCCGCCATCCTGAACCTGCCGAATACCAGGAGGCAGGACGACGCCACGGACCAGGGCCTGAGGGGAGAGAACGGCTTCAGGACCGAGAACATCGAGATCGTCGACACGGAGAGCCTGCCGAGACCTCAACCCCAGCCTCCGGCTCCTTCCAAGAGGCCGGCATCCGGGAACGACGTCGTCCCCCAGGTGGATACCCATCCCCTGGAGTCCACCTGGAGGATCGCATGGTCCCTCCACGTCTACGTCGCGGCCATAGTCTTCACCCTGATGGCTCTGTACTCCATATACAAGATCGTCAGGTTCAACGAGGCCTCGAACCTCCTGACGCAGTCCTACTTCCTGGCCGTCCACCTCCTGCTGACCACCGTCTGCACCCTGAGGTGCTTCCACCTCTTCTACGACGCGTACAACCTCGGCCATTCCCTCCCGGACTTCCTGTCCAGGGTGCTGATGTACCTCCCGGCTCCCCTCTTGTCCACCGCCTTCGCCACCCTGGTCCTCTACCTTGCGAGGTGCTCCGAGGCACCGGCTCTGAACAACAAGTTCCTCTCTCCCACCGCTCTGGTTCTCTACTCCACCGTTCACGTCGTCCTCTGCGTGTTCCTCCACGTGTCCAACAGGGTCCTGGGCTTCCAGGACGAGGCCAGGATCCTCCCCCTCGTGTGCCAGTGCGTCTACATCGTCGTCTGCGTCACCCTGGGACTCTGCTACATGTACGTCTACCGAGTCGTTCGCTCCCAGATACAATTGACATCCAGCAAGTCCGTGGAGAACCATGGAAGTGGGGATCCAACCACCATGGCCCTGAGCACGGCCATCACGACCACCATCGCCACGGCGCTACTCTTCATCCTGATGGGGTTCGTCCAGCTGTACGGCGTGTTTGGAGTCCAGGAACGGCTCCAGCCCTACCCTTGGCTATGGTGGGGGTGGCAGTTCTCGGTCAGGCTTTTGGAGCTCTCCATGTGCGGATTGATGGCCTGGGTCGCCAGCTTGTCCCAGTACCCCGTCAGGGAGAAGCAGATGCACCAGCAGTCGGTCCACTCCGGGTTCGCGCTCTTCCCTTGTGGGAACTCCACCTCCACGGAGAACATGGACGACGTTCTCTATCCCGCTATTTGTAGCACCAATCAGGCCATCCAGAACTACACCATGAGGACTGGGAAACAGGTCTACGATGATAGCTTCCCCTTGAACGCTCTCCCGGAACACCTGAACATCTCCGGGACTTTCGAGAGACACTCCATCAGGAAGTCCGGGACCATGGGCCACTTCCCACACGAGGGAAGAGGATCCCTTAATAGACACGGGAATGGGGTACAGACCATGAGGAACTCCGAGTCCAGGGGAAGGCATACCCCCGTCTCCGGGATGCACGAGCAGCCTCCTACCTCTGGGTCCACCATGCTCGTCGCGGAAGATGGATTCGTCAGGTTTAGGAGCCTGGGGTCTGAGGATGATGAGCTCTCGGACTCCCAGAGCGTTGCTGGGACTCATGGAAGGGCGAGCTCCCTTGCTGGAAGCGTCAGGTACGGAGTTCTTGATCTACAATACAGTAATTAATTTTTTTTTATCCACGGAGTTGATGGTTTTTATCAAATCATGCGTTTTGTACCTTCTTCAGGTACAACGCCAGGCACCCCGCGGTCCAGCATCAGCTCCAGCATCAGCATCAGCATCAGCATCAGCATCAGCATCAGCATCCTAACCAGACGCATCGGCAGATCCATCATCAGAGCCATCATCAGCTCTACAACAATACGTAAAGATTAGACCAAGGACCGCCTGACTGCGGATCATGTTCCTCGAATGCGGATTGTATGAACGGTGGGTTGTCCTTTATTGAACAATCTAGGGAATTAATACCAGCCTTTCATGGCTTATTAATAAGATAAGCTGTCGGTAATGAGACAGGGAATTGATAATGTGATTTTTCATTGCAGCTTTTTTTCCTGAAGAGTCAAGCAACGACCTGGAGGAGTCCTGGAGGCAGGAATTATTTTCTACGAGGCATCTGGGAAGACCCGAAGAACTATAGCCTGGAGAAGTCGCGGTTGACTGTAAAATACGTCGCGTGTATAAACATTTGGCAATCTCCTCCTGGGATGGCCATTAACTATTTTCTCTGCGAGTCGCCATGACGACGATTGATATTTATTTTCGCTCCAAGGAGGGAAAAAACTCATCTCGAGCGATTTCGAGCTTTGACTTTTAAGGCACTAAGTACTTAAAGAAAAGAAATAAGTTCCGCAAGAGAGCCCGAAAAGTATTGGAGAAGGACTTTAGGATGTCTCATCCGCAGAGTCGAAAGTGGTCCTCGACAGCCATCGGGTGAGACTTAAAAATCGAGATACATGAGAGAATAGGACTCCTCGGGGAATTAGGAAATTAACGACGAGCGGGGACTTTATTTTAGGGATAAACCGACACAAGTTATTTAATCTAATCACTCGATTTACTCCCATTTAAGTGACAAGTACTTTTGCCATCGATGGCTTCGACACTTGCTCCGAGCCAGCGAAGAGCATTTTCAAATCTTGCCACCCGTAAGCCCCCAACTATTCCTTGACTAAATAATTATTATTGCCTTTTGACCTCTTGATAGCCAGACTAATTACCATAAATGAATAATATGTAACGAATGGGGAAAAAAAAAAATTATTCTGTTGTGTCGGTTCATCTTTATCTGATAGAATCCGCGTCGAATGACGGAGTATGGCAGCTTGCGTTCGCATCGCTTGTCTTTTTCGATACAGGATATAAATATATACATATAAATATACACGATAAGAGTATACGCATAAGGAAATGCCCACGGGGTCCAAAACTAGGGTTCAGAGTTCCGAGCTAGAGGGAATTCGGGATTTCGGGGACTCGAGTTGATGAGTCTTGAAAAACGCGTATTGTACAGTCGATAGATAGTAATTTATCGCTTAGTCCGCCGATAAAAGGTCTTACTGAGCGTTTGAGCGTAGGTTAAGCCACTTATTTGTACGTTAAGTTATGCCTGGAATGTGATTAAATTATGGATACATATTGCCGGCCGCCGAGGACCAGCGGCCGCCATCTTGGATTTCTCGTAACCGACGCTTACGAGGACAATTCCTCGTTCGACTCGATTCGACACGAAATGTTGACCGGATTAATCTTTAGACACTTTCTGCGCATCTAAGGTACAAATTAGCTTTTATTTTCAAACGTCGAACGCCGTTTTACTCTCACTGCCGTCGAGGGACCGCGAGACCGCAGGATCGGTACCGTCTCTTCTTCTTTTTTTTTTATTCTAACTACTTTCTTCCTTTTGGGAGAAATTTTAACGCTCTCGGGTGAAGCATTAACCCTTTTGCTGGGGCAAAGTCTAAGGAAATGGATTTTAAGCGGTTGGGGCATTGAAATGACGAATTTATTTCGGAATTAACGTTTAATCACGCTAAGGTACGTTGAGGGAGATTTCAAAATGGCGGCGGCGCGGCGAAAGGGTTCACTGGGTTTTATTTCTGTATTCAAAGGTTCTTAAACGATTGTCCGTGGATATTTCACTCGCACAATGTGTAATATAACTCCGATGGAAGATATTTCTCGGGAGTATTTAAAGAAATGATTGTCAGGGGGATTAATAAAGGGAAGACGATCCGATTCTGCAGGCCGCGAGTTTCTCGAGAAATCTGCATTTACGGTTCTTGACACGTCGGAACATTTTTATTTCAAGACTTTGACGTGTAGGACAAGCCAAGGTGCATTTATCTATATTTTCTACGACTTGGATTTTTTTTTCTATCCCGCCTAATCGTCGCGTTTCGTTAGTTTCTTTCGCAATGGTCGTTACGAGACTTATGCATGAAGCGTTGGGTTGATGCATAAATATTGGCGTTTCTTAATACGTTACGCTACGTGTTAAAAGCGACAATACTTATGCATCCGATGGTATAAGGAGACATAAAGTCCATGCTCGGTTCCACGGAAAGTGGAATGTTTAATTGAATAATTCCATCGAGGAGGCGCTCTGGATTTCCATACATGGCGTTGTATCTCCTTATACTAATATTCCTGCTCTTATGTATATTAAATCATAACGTGGGCCTAATATCAGGAGGGGAAATGGTCTTGTGCTCGTATGTTCCTTCGTGAAACGTTTCGTACATTCGATAGTTTAAATAATATCCGACGTACCGGACTGAAGGGTCGTGAAAGTTCACCCTAGTGATAAAATTCCCAATTCCGAGCTGAGGAAATGTATTCGAAGGTACTTAGTCGCAAATGCGTTGTATATAATCCGTCTCTTTATTTATTACATATTTGGATACGAGAGCTGAGCATATCGGTCGATGTGCTTCAATGCGGAACTTAAGCTTACGCGTAAGTGTTAAGTGGTTTAAATTTCATTTCGATTCTAGGAGCATCATTCCAATTGTTTATATCGCGTTCCGAGAGAGGACGAATGTTTCAAGATGGCGCCGTAGATGGCGCCAGGTTTCTTTTACGCGAAAAAGAATTCTTCTCCTTTACGTTGACTCCTCGTATTTTACGCCCAGTTTAAACGATTATTCTTTGTTTAGTGAAAATACCTTGTGTAAATTGGAGTACGAGGCACGTAAATGTTCTTTTATTGTTGTCGCGACGTTGTTTAGTAGTTTTACTAAAGCAGAATTAATCACAGGCTCGTGTTTAATGCACTTTTTACCACGGTTTTGCTCATTTTTTGTTGAATTTTTTTTCCCAGCATGTTCGGCGAAATTCTTTGTTATATTTTGTCATGGTAGTGGTGAGATGTTAAACAATGAACATGTACACCAGTGGTTAGAAATAGTGAAATGAAGACGATTCGAATTTCCTCGTGGAAAAGCGTGAATTTCCATCTGCTATGTCGCCACGGTTTTACCATAGGTGTAAACGCCTCTTTTCAATGTTTCTTCTCAACAAAATAATTGTTTTTTATTTATATATCATTCAGTCAATTTTTTTTCCCAGTATTGTTTTCTTGTACTGTATGTAAAATATAACAAATTTTTTCGCGATTCGTAAATTCGACAGAGGCCCTTGTTTGTTTTGTATCGAATTTTGGCGCAATCGAGAACTCGTTAGAAACAAAAATAATAACAAAATAATTGTTTTTCCCTCACTTATGCATGATTAAGTTCCTTTTCTTGTATCGTATGTAAAGTATAAGAAATTAATCGCGATTCGTAAATTCGACAGAGGGCCTTGTTTAATTTGTATGGAATTTTAGCGTGTTCCGGTACTCGTTAAATTGTTTACACCGATAGTAAACCAGGATTAACGAATAGTTAGAGGGAAAAATGCGAAGTATATCTTCATCGGAATATGTAGAATAACTTATCTAGATACATTTTTACCACGTCAAGGTATCTGCGTAAAGGTACATCCTTTTGTCTACGTGTCTTGTATCTGTACCTAGATATTTAAAAAGTGTACCCTCCCGGTTTGTCAGAACAATTTCCGAAACAATGCCCGCGCGATTGCTGTGCAATTGTCATTTCAATTAGCAAGTTGTGGACAATTTGCAAAAGGTTGTCCTATTTTACTTGGGCAAATGGTACGAGGAGGCGTCGACAAGTCTGAACATATAAATATAAATATAAATATATCAAATATGATATATATATATACCGCGGATTTTGAAAATCGAAGACGTTGCGGAGGTATTTTCATTTTATTTATGAAAATTCCCGTTTATACCCGAGGATCATCTTTGGAACGGTCGATAGACTTTTGGAAGACACTGTGAATGCTAAATCAGAATCTGTAAAAACTGTATGATATCTGTACAAAATTAATAGAGGTGATATATATATGAAAATGTAACATCCTGATTGTTAAACATTCCCGGGGCTCTTCCTACGGCTAATAGTTTATTAGTTCTTCCTCGGGGTGCGTATTAAGGGGTTATACCACTTAGAAATTTTGAAAAAAATCGAAAAAAAATGTTTACGCCTTTTTCTTGAAACTGAATTTCTTTTTTTATTTTATTCCCGTTTTTTATGCAACATTATTTAACGAAATGGCTACGTGTTTCGCACGATCATCGATTTTCGCAGCGCTCCGGTAAATCGCCTTTCAAGCCGCCATTTTGGTAAATAAAAAAAATAGAAAAAAAAATATTTTGTTGTTTAATAGTGGTATGATATCTTACTGTACTTTGATTTGGATAAAAACGTTTTAGTTGTTAAAAAAAAATTCTTGAAAAAACGGAATTTTTGGGTCGGTCAAAGTGGTGTAACTCCTTAAAATCGAAATAAAATCCGCAGCTTGAAGGGTGAGCGACTCTCTCCTCGAATGACTCACGTCTTCGTACGTTCTGCCTTTTTGCATCTATATCTGTAAACCCCAGAACGCTCTCTTACCGTCTTTGCCATTCGGCATCATAATGTAACAAGTGGGAAATACCGAGTTAACCGGAGGTGGAGGAGGGAGTTTGGAAACGAGCCACCTTCCCCATAAAGATCGACTCAGTTTGTCCGTAAACTTCGAAATAGTCGAAAGTTCTTGATGAAAGCTTTAAATCGTCAGTACCAGACTGAAAAGATAATTATCGGTCTACTTTTTAGGTTGTAAAACGAGTATTTTTCAATCTGGCCATTTTTAACCGCGGTTAGTTAATCTCGGATTAGGAGAACGCGTATTTTTCTTTTAAAGGTTGGATTCGTTAACGAATGATTATTATTTGATATTGAGTGGAAATTAAGGTTTTTGAAATGTGCGCAGAAAATTAGCCGTCCTTGCTTAACTTATACGGAGTGGGTGCAATAAAACATTTGCTAGGAAAATCCCGACATTAGGCCCGAAGGGTGAATGACTTCGCAGGAGTGAGTCATACCTGGGCGAACCTACACCTATATCTCGCATCTGTATCCAGATGCCTCGGAGATGTGTTCCCGAACACCTTGCTCTGCACGCAGTGCATTACAAAGTGGGATCAGAACCAGTATTGCCAACGCACAATGTAAAGAATCCGGTATAATGGCTTGTTACATACCAGACATATTGCAATAAATTAAGAAATCCACCTTGGCAAAAATGACCACATCTTTACATGGAAGGTTTCAAATAAATATGCTTTTTTCCTATATTATTTTATTAAAGAGGTACAATCTAAATCTATACACTATACATGTAAGTTCTATCACAAGCATGAAATTACTTAAAACTGGATTCTTCACGCCAACTCTTCTCATCCCCAGCATCCCTGTAATTAAAACAAACGTATAATTTGTCTTTAAACAAAATACCTACCTTTTCCCCATTAACATCTTTTTCCTCCTGCGGATTCATTTAAAGCATGCTCAACCACCGCTGAATTGTAATATCCTCTCCTAATCATGCTTAAAAAAATCCATGCTTGAGAAAAATCCGCTGAATTGGCAACAGTGGTCAGAAAGTAAATATGTATATATATAAGAATATATAAGCATATATAAATGCGCGTAATGGAAAATATCCCAGCAAGTGCCTCGCCTCGACCGTGTGCGCGCATATATAAACGGATATGTGTGCGTAAACGGATATACACCCTCACATAAACGGACTTACCCCCCCCCACACTTGTTCCCTCACCGATATCCAGCCTCCATTCCCAAGCTATCCAGTCCAGACACTTGCTCGACCATCCCCACCACGTAACTAACCTCGAGCAGGTCTGAACACGTTCGGAGCGCGTCGCGACCTGCCGCAGTTTTCGCCGCGTCGGCAGACGGCGCGTGAGTGTCGACCGAGTAAGACGTGCGAGGAAAGTCACCCGATCAAGTCGACGCTGCGCGCGCAGCCGTCACCCTGCAACCCTCCGCGACTCCACTGCCTGGCCCCGGTCGACGAAAGGGCCCGACGGGCCCGCTAAATCTAGAAAAATGGTAACTAGATATTTATCTAAGATCGATTACCCTTAAGTTTCGACATTTCCGAGTACTCTATTATACCGGGTACCCTAACCTCGGATTTCATCATCTTTTCCGAGGAAGTATCCACTTTAAAAATCCACTTTTTAGGGTGCTTAACCCTGGTTTTTATCCTCCGGATTTATGGGGATGTGTTTACACCTTCGCGTAGTCATCTTGGAAGCGTGACTCATTTCTGATCCCGCACGCGTCGAGGTCGAGATCGTTGAGAAGGGCTTAAACTCGATATGGAGTCGATTATCTTGTTACCGTTTGAAATTGTCAAGTGGTTTTGTTTGTAACGGTTTTCTTTTTTTTTTTTAAATCGGGTTGGGGGGCGCTCGGAGGGTGGTTTTTTTATTCTGGGGATGATTGAAAATTATTCCTCGGTTTTCGGATATTGATATTCATAAATGTTTGGATGGTAAAGATCTTATTAGGCCGTTAAAGATTATATTTAATCCTGGGAAGGTGACTTACAAGAGAGAACCGAGGAGAAGAGGAGGAATGAGTCATTCTGGTGAGCGCGCGTCGCGAGATGGAAAGAGTTCGAGATTCGCCTTTAAATTAGGATATGCGAGTTCCATTGTTATACAATCATGTAGAAATGTCAGAATTACGAGATCTGCGGTATACGCGATATCTGACCGCAAACTAAACCCATGCGTCACTTCTGATATGCGTGGAGATCGTTGCGGATGCGATTTATATGAAATAGTTGACCGCCGCCATTTTGGATTATCTTGAGTTTTGCCGAGACGCATATTCTTTGTCGAATTAATGCAGAGTTTATCAGTCTGTTTTGCTTTTACTTTTTCATTCAGTTTTTCCTGCAACTCCTTTCGTAATTTCTCTTCGATTTTAATTAAGATTTTCTGTTTATTACGTCGCGACTTATAAAATAATTCTTAATGGCCGCCATTTTAGATTATCATGAGTTTAGCCGAGACGCAGATTCTTTGTCGAATTAATGCAGAGTTTATCAGTCTTTATTTTGCTTTTACTTTTTCATTCAGTTTTTCCTGCAACTCCTTTCGTAATTTCTCTTCGATTTTAATTAAGAATTTCTGTTTATTACGGTCGCGACTTATAAAATGATTCTCAATGGCCGCCATTTTAGATTATCATGAGTTTAGCCGAGACGCATATTCTTTGTCGCTTAATATCCGAATAACCGCAGAATTCATTTGAGATGTTATAATATTTAACACTAGTTAAATGTTTATTTCGAGGAGGATTTTAATATTCGGAATAGTCCGCTCCGATTCTTTTGTCCGGAGAAAATCTCGGCGTCGCGGAGATCGTATCGCTGATGCAACGTTTTAGAACGTTTCGCGATGTGCAGATCTTTTGAATTTAATATTAAGGATCTTGGACTCTACGTCGGAATATCTAAAATATTTCATACGTTCGAATTAATTGGGATTAATTTTGAAAAACTTGGCGAGTCCAGATATCTTTAATTAATTTCAAAGACCCGTGGAGTCATTTATCTTGTCTCGTGGACCCCTCGAACTTTTTAAAAAGACGCGCGAAATGGGAAAATTTCAAATTTTGTACCGACGCGGTTCATTTTTAAACCTGAAGAGCGCAAAAGATAAAATGCTTGATCGAGAAGACTTTTCTTTTCAGCCCTCGTTAGAAGGAAGAAATATGTGCAAAGGAGATGAAGACTGCTCGGAGAAGCAATATTGTTACGACGTTTCCGGTTTCTGCGTCGATTATACACTTTGTAGCAGATACAATCGACAGGAAGCTCAAACCTATTCCCGACATCCATCACAATGTGGACCTTGCATCTCGGGGTAAATATAACAATTAATATATTTATAGACCTCCAGTCTTATTTATATCTGTATTAAAGAGATTTCTTAAGAAGCATTTGGGAATATTATTAAATGTTATTAGTAAATGTTAACCTGAATATATTCTGATGGTAGAAAATCATTTTTCAGATACAATGCCGAGGTCTTGTCCACCGGAGAAGTTTCTTCGCTGTGTAAAAGGATCACTTCAGATCTTGAGACTGCCGGTGAGTATATTTTATTTCTTCTAATTTTATTAACAGTTCCACCCAGCAAGTAACAATGAATAATCTCAGTGATTTATTTTATTTCTTTTTCTTTTCAGAATTACATCAAAATACTAGCAACGCCATGTTCACCTTGGTCGGCAGTATTAGTATCTTCGTCGTGTTAGGAATCATAATATCCATTACTGTACTGAAAAAAGGTAAGCGATTCAGAAATTTTTAATACCTACACAACATACATCGGATAGGGCAATTACAGGCAGACGAACAATTATTCCATCCGACTCGCAGTGAAAATCAGTCCAGCGCTAACAGATTACCATCGGTCCCCAAAATACAAGAATAATAATTAACAACTAGTCGATGCCATTCAAAACAATTTCTAAACAGAATATAATTATCCGTTCTTCAGAATTCACTTGATAGTTTAATTACTAGGGTATTCAAAGTTCATTTTATTCTTTCTCTTTATACATAAAACACATCTTAATAGTTTATACACGTAATTATTTTCCGAAAGATTATTCATTATTATACGGACGCTCGTAACACTTTGCAACAAAGGTCGGATTTTTTTTCCCGAAGAAAAATGTCAATCGTGATTTCTTTACAGCACTGCTTAAAGTTAACGAGACCTTTATTATCAAGTTCTGGAGGTTGGGAGAGTATAGCGTACGTATTTCCAATCACAACTTCATGGTAATAACTATTTGGGCCACTCTATCACTTTTTTTTAATTTAATTATTATTCACCGGCTTCTGTAAATCTGTCGATAAAACCTCTCTCTTCGGTTTTGCAATCTCATGGAAATTCAGTATCGTGTCTTAGAGATTTCTTCCGGTACTTTTGTGGTATATCTTCGTATCATCGTGTGTGGTTAATATGCAAATTGTTAGCGGAGCCTCGATAGCCAATGCTTGTTGCTTTAACACAATAGGAGATGCACTTGAAAAAAAAAATTATATGTATTATAAACGTTTATCAGTGTACAGATAAAAATTGCACCTTATAGCACCATGTTTCAGCTTACACTAAACTAAGTCCTGAGTCGAATCGACAACGTTACGTCATTGGAGATAATTTCTTTTTCCAGTGTTCTTCTCGAGGAGCAATGATGCCTGCGATAAATGCCCTTCTACGAGGAGCTTCGATCCAAGCGCACCACCTGTGGAGAACAGTAAGGAAATTATTTATTTTCCTACAACTTTCTACCGTACTTAGGGTACCGCTTGCAACGATTTCTTAAGCACCTTGGAATAAATATATTCATATATAAATATCTGTAACTTAACTCGCAGATCACTTGATTGAATTTGAACTGCCGCTCCATCCTCCGGCAAGTAACAACAATGAAAATCTGAAGGACCGCAACAAGTTGGTCAATGCCACGCCTTTTAAGGAGCCCGATTGGATTCGAGGGAATTCAAGTTACGAACAGCACTTAAGGGCCGATAGTCCTAATGCTGCGGTTCAACTTCTTCCTCAGCAACAATTGCAGTCGATCGAAGAAAGTGACCACAATACCTGGTCGCAAGAGTAAGTACAGCATATATTTTTTATGTATTCTTTATGTATGAGGTGTGAGGTTATGTCAGGGATTTTAGCAAATCACAAAAGGTCACACGTGTTCACGTTTAATCTCTTTTTCTCCAGGCAAGGAGCGGTGCAAGAATCATCTCAGCCATTCGCTGTGGAACAACGAGACAATGACATGAACGCAGCATTCAACCAGCGGATTCGACCACTTCCATCTTCGGAGGGAGAAAGCAACAATGCCTCCGACTCGGGGAATTCTCACGAGAGCGACAATCAATCGAGCGTGCGGAACTTTTTAATATCCCAGAAGATAACCATGAATCTTAATGTACTTAACGGTGATTACAAGTGATACGAATCGTCGTACGAATTATACTTAGTGCCTATTCTAACGATGCTCAATTCGTAATTATGAGCGGCAGTCATACAATGGCGTCATATCATTGTTACACTTTGACTGTTTATTAGTAATTAATTTTATTAACTGTACATAAGGACTTAGTGTCCCCGTTTCGTTGCACCGATGAGTAGCAAGGATGTTTAACGGTCTTTGCATTCATATGTAGACATGTATGTTGTATGAATAAATTTTGTACGAACAGTTCACTTTTATGAGATTTGAAATAAATTGTTGATTTTTCCAAATTGTTCCCAAATTTAACGTCCTGAATTCCTGAAGGTAGATTTCCAGTTGTCGGTTGGTGATGCAGTTACCGGTAGGTAACCTCTTAATTCGTTTGTTGGTAATCGTACTCTCGTGGATGTCGATACATCGTGTCGCGATAATCGTATCGATGGTCGGTACGTTATCGTCGTTCGTCGTTCGAGTAGAGAGAGAGAGAGAACAGTTAACTCTGAAATACTTTATTTGACATTGTTGTATTCGGACAATTCGACGGGTAAACTTATGCCAAGCTGCGCAGGAGAGTCATCTAAAGTTAAAGAGCGTTTTGATAATATTAACAAATGACTAGGTAAAAAATAGAGGAGCGTCGCCCCGATCTATTGTTGCTCGATAATAATAATTAAAAAAAAAAAAAGTAAAAGTAACATAAACGGGATTCAAAGAGGAGAAAACGTGGAAATTGCGAAAAAAAAAACAAAAAAAAACAGTTCCAGTTCCTCGAGGTGCGGCGCCATTTTCTTAAATTAGGGAGCACGGTCTGTATATGTACAAAAGTCAATTAGCAGGTAAATATCGGCGGTCGAGATAGACGACTAAACAATGAGAGGCTCGGAGGAACGAAAAGGTACCGCAAACCGATGGACTGTCATCGTCAAATTGATCCTTAACGGACTTACGTCACTTATGACGTGACAACGCGAACGTGACGTCACAGAGCGTCCGGTAAGGGTTTAGATATAGCGATCTTTCTATCTACGTGATGCACATATTCTTCTCCTTTTTTTTTCGACATTTTCTCTTTCTTTTCCGCCTTAAATTAAACGCAGACGCGCGCGTATATCCATTCTAGGTCAACACAAAGGACGGGAGTACAGGGGCAAACAATTCAGAGATCTCCGTGGAAGCCGACAAGAAATTAAAAAGAAGTACTCGATGCCGAATTGGCTTACCAAGATGGCGGCGGCCGCGACCGTGCCCCTACTCTCTAAGATTTAAAAACCATGGCGTGGGTCAGAGTATTTCCACTCATATGTCGCCTCTTAACATTTCAAAACCACGGAGTTACTTTACATATTATTTAAAATCCCTCTCCAGGATCTTTATCGAATCTGATAACCACGAGCTTGCAGCGCTGGCTTACCAAGATGGCGGCGGCCGCGACCGTGCCCCTACTCTCTAAGATTTAAAAACCATGGCGTGGGTCAGAGTATTTCCACTCATATGTCGCCTCTTAACATTTCAAAACCACGGAGTTACTTTACATATTATTTAAAATCCCTCTCCAGGATCTTTATCGAATTTAACAACCACGATCTTGCGGCGCTGGCTTACCAAGATGGCGGCGGTCGCGACCGTGACACTATTAATTAAAATTTAAAAACCACGGTGTGTGTCAAGATTTAAAAACCATAGAATTACACCTCGAAATCCTTTTCCACAGAACGAACTTCCACAAAAATGTCTAAACTCTTCGACGGGAGGAATAACCACAAAGCTCGGTCGAGGGGGCGATCGATACAAGTGAAGTAACCTCCGTTAAAAAATCGCCGCCGCTTTCGCACCCCCTTAATCGGCCTCGCCAAGCCACGACCAGCCTCGCTGCGTCCAGCGGTACTCGCGTAATACAACAAATCAATTAAAATACCATTGTTAGCGTGTAGTAGGGACTCAATATGAGCCGTCGTGACGTTAATAGTCTTAAAATCCGGCCAAGCGCTAATTCTACGTCGCGAGACGGCATTCTCGATTATCAATTAATCGCATTAACCTCGATTAGCGCTTTCCGTTCGTTCACTATCAAGTAAAGGTTCCACGTGCGCAATTATTGCTTTATACATCTATTTACAGAAACGGTGCACCGCCGAATTACGCGTCGGCAGTCGCTCTCTCTCTTTCTCTCCCCCTCACTTTCGCGCCGTCGCTTTCGCTCCATCGCTGAAGTTTTAGAAGCAAACCTAGAGACGAATCGATTGCTCTATTTTTTTTTCTTCACTTTAGGAATTAATTGATAAGGATAATTCCATCGGTATAAATGAGAGACAATAGGGAGAAATTGTACAATTCGTGGGAATAAAAATTTCAGATATCACAACGAGGGGAATTGTAACAATAAATGTGGTAGAATCGAAAATGGAAATTTCATCGATAAAAAATATGGGTTTAAAAATAAAATTAATATCTCTCTCAGGTTTGCCATCTCGAACAATAGCGACTCTCTTCCTCTCATTCTTCCACTCTCGCTACCTCGGTTACACATAATACTAGATTGATTCGGCGAATTTCTACGCGTGTAAAAACGTACACAAAAAGCTACACGAGAGGTAACTCGCTTTGTAGTACTCTTTTTACGGGTATTTTTTTTTTCTCAGTCTCATTAATGGTTCCTTCCTGCCGGCTTGGGCGAGGGCGGAGAGTCGCGTCTGGAAGGCACTTTCTCGCCGACTCTCCATCTTTTTCTTATTTCTTTTTCATGCTCCCCCTTTCTCCTGATTCCCTCCTATTCCTATCCTATCGAAACCCTTCTCTTATCAAACCTCTCTATCTTTACTCTTTTTCACATCGAACTCTCAATTTCTCCAATTAAACTATTATCATATCAAACTATCATTCTCCTATCAAACCTCTATCTTAATTTTTTTCTTTACATCGTACTCTCAATCTCTCCAATTAAACCCATCTATTACCATATCAAACAATCATTCTCCTATCAAACCGAATGTTACATATCAAACCTCTATCTTAATTTTTTTTTTTTACATCGTACTCTCAATTTCCCCAATTAAACTATTATCATATCAAACTCTCCATTCTCCTATCAAATCGAATGTTACATACGAAACCTCTCCGCGTCCCTATCAGACTATCAATATCCCTAATCAATCCCTCCTCCCCCCGCGGCCGGCTCTCATCATCAAAGGTCGTCAGGGAGGGACGTCGCGCTAATTTTAGGAATCGGCCAGAGAATCGCCAGAGAGAGATTCGCTGCCAAAGGCACACCCGACACCAAAGATGTCGTCGTAGTCGTTCCCCGCCGACCTTGGACGTATTTAGGCACTATTCGATATGTACCCAAGAGGTCCCCGTCTAGTCAATTACGCACATTTCGCGGCACGTCATAACCCCCAACGTCTCCAAAAAGAACCGGACGACAATTCCAAGATGACAACTTCCCCTCCCAGACGCTTCGTCAAACCGCAAAGCGATGAAAAGCATGAAAAAAAGGGCAAAACCCGCGGACGGGTCGTCGTGTAAAAGACGCCATCTTGGATCTCCCCTCGAAGCGTCTGCGAAGGAATAAACGACAAAACCTCGCCCTTATCCGCTTTCCCTCGTCCCCTTAACATCTATATGTACAATCTAGACATCTAAGGGCGCATTTTCATCGATCTTCCTCCATTGTTCTCCCTTCTTCGTCGCCGTTCCAGCCTCTTCGCTCGGCCTCGCCTCTTCCTCCTCTTCGTCCGCCATCTTGCGATTCGGGAAAGCGTCGTCGGTGTGTTCTCCAAGTGGAAGGGTTATTGGACGAAGCTTGGCAGGGCCATGGCTCTGTCAATAGACGTAGATGGTCTTAAGCTGGTCCTTCAGCTCCGGCGGAATGGCGCAGGTCTCCGACTCGGGTTTCCTCTTCACCAAGCGACGCCAGCGCCCCCCGAGGTTCTTCCGGAACCCTTTCGCGAATCCCGGCCTGTCCGAGGGTAGAGCGTGTACGAGAGTATCCTGTAATAAAAGAAAGATATAATTAAACCCATTTCGACCATCCCTTACCATTAATACTACATATTAATTGTCGTTAAAAATCCAGTCGCGGGTAAACGTGTAAATGATAACACCGGTAAGAATAATTCACGTTAATTTTGATATCCAATACTACAGCGTAACCATTTTGTAATATCTACCCATACCGCCGAACTTAACCTCACTTCCGCCCTATGATTACCTAGGCGGGCCCTCTGCCACGGGTTTGAAATATTAATAGGTCTCCGACCACTTCCCCATGGGAACCGAGGCGCGTTCGACAGAAGGGAACGGGAGAGGATTCAAGATGGCCGCCGCCGACTCGGGCGTCACGTGATCGATAAATAAACCCGCCGCTTTATTTTGGTCATCGACCCGAGCCGTCCGTTTAACGGCCGTTTTCACGCATCGCTTACGCCGCCGTGCCGATTTCCGGCCATTCCTTTCCCCGAGAGAGATCCTCCTTACCGACCGAGGATCATAAGTCATACCCCGCAGCAATGGCGGCTCGAAGGTTCATCCTTAGAGCGAGAGAGAGAAATTGACTTGAACCGATCTCCCACTTTCACGCGCGCGACGACGGGTGAGGATACTCACCCATGGAGAGCGCCGAAAACGTACGCGTGAAAAGGTGAACGTATTCACCTATACAACCTATCTCGCGCGCGACGGGTGAGGATACTCACCCATGGGGAGCGCCTAAAACGTACGCGTGAAAAGGTGAACGTATTCACCTATACGACCTATCCCGCCGCGCGACGGCGGGTGAGTATCCTCCCCCGCCCGACCCATGACGAGTACGTTCACCCGTGCCCATTCGAAAGGGTGAAAAGTCTCACCTAGGACCCGCGATCCGACCGTTAGACAAAAGTTAGTTTCCTAACCTCCCGGCATGGAAAGCGTTACGAAACGAGACGTCGTGCCGGCCAGCGAGCGAGCCGCGACGCCGAGGCCACTCGGCGCGCCTGCAGCGCCAGGAATGTCGCCGGGGCGCTCCTGCGCGCGCAGGATCGGTCTGCGTCCCTCTACCCCCTCCCCCGACCCTTAACCGTTTCGAATCCGGCGAGACGCGCGGCCGCCCACCCACGCTAAATTTAGACCCACCGAGGGCAGTCCGGCGCGAAAGTAACCTCCCCGGGCTATTTCGACTCGCCCGACGGGCATGAACCAACGGCACCGACCGAGGGGAAACTCGACCGCCCCTAGGCGCCCCCTAACCTACACGGAGCTCGAGGGACGTTAAGGTTATACGAAGGCGTCGAGAGGCAGGATCGATTATTACACTTTTCCTCGAAACGGGTGTATCGAATCGTTTGAAATTTTAACCCGTTAATATAGACGTTATTTGGAAGGTCCCGACACTCGGGAAATCTTCAAAAATTCAAGGATATTCCTTCCAGCCTCCATATATAACCCCTTGCCTTACGATTAAATCCCCGAAGAATTTCATACATGCAGATAATTAAATTGAGCGCAACCCTACGCGTGGTTGTCATGAAATAAATATTGAAATAAAATGAAATAACGAATGTGGAAAAAAAAATGAAAAATTGAAACGCTTAGATGCACCCAATTTGGCGAAAAAGTGTCATAAATATTTCTACGATTTATATTAAATGACCACGATACTTTCGAGCACGAATTTACGCGACAATTTCGAGATTAAATTGAATTTCCAGAGTATGACTCGCGTAATTGCACATCACCACTGCAATGGAAGTGCAACTATTTTTCCCACGAGTCTTACGAGCAACAGGGCGAACGTCTCACGGAAACTCCCCGGCTTTATTTATAAACCGTGGAATCGATTCGCACAAACGGAGGAAGAAATGTATACACGGAAAAGAGAAGTGTCTTTCAAGTAAGACGACGTAAACGCAATCGAATCCGCGAGCGGATATAAACGGGCCAGTGTTAAACTTATTTCAAACCTACTCACTCGACGGTTAACATTTAACGTACATAAAATGAACGCTCTACATCATTCTGTAAATATCTTAACGTCGATATTTTTCAAATAATTAAAAAAAATTAAGTTTCAATTTAACAATAATCCCTGTAACCCTCTCACCGGATCGATACTAAATCGCAGTAAATGTGTACGAAATGTTACTAATATATTATTATTATCATCATCAACAGAACGATTTAATCGAAACATCTGATAGTAAAAAAACTAGTCTGGTCGAGTGGACTCGAAATTCTAACCGCTCGACCGAAACTAATCGCCCAATATTTTAATTTTTTTTTTCATCTCTATGAATAAATTTCGTTTTCTTTTTCATGTCGTTTTTTTGAGGTATTTCATACATACATTTCCGGACGATAAAGGAAAAAAAGAAAGACAACAAATGCCCTGCTAATTATCAATGCTAAGGAAAGATAAAGGGAAGGAGAGACACGCTCGCGTCCATTTAGAAATTTAAATTAATACCTCGACTCTTAAATGGATAAGTTTCGAATAATACAGTCGTCCTGAGTTACGCGTTGTTTCCGATATTAGTTGACAATTGCCTCAGAAAGTGCCTTTACGTAACAGCTCATTTTGAACCGAGGTTTTTCAAACATTTAGTACACATTTATACCGTCTCGATTTCTAGCGCCGTTTTCGAAGTTTAGGCGATTTTTCACCGAATTCGCGACTTTTATTGCGAAAATGCGAAAGTGCGAAAATGCGAAAATGTGAAAATGTGAAAATGTGAAAATGCGAAAAAGTGCGAAAATATGAAAATGCGAAAAGTGAAAAAATTTCTAATCCCCAAAATGTCATTTACACGTTTCACCCTCACCTGTGATATTCGCGGGGTGAAAATGCGAAATGTCGAAAAGCGAGAGAATCCACACTCACCTGGTCGTTGTACAGCGAGTACTGGGGCGGGGGTGTGTGCGGCGGGGGGTAGGGCGGGGGAAACTGCCAGACGAACTGATCGGCGGCATAAGCGGGAGCGTCGGTCTCGCTGGCGACCAGGTCGTTGGTGCAGCAGCCCTCGGAGGCGGCCATGATGGTGGAGACCTGGGTGGCGGTCTGTACGACGCTGCCCTCGGGGTGGACGGAGTTCCCGTGGTCCTCCCTCTTCCGCAGCTTGCTGCGGACGAGACGGATGGCGATCATGGTGCCGTTGCTCCCGACCATCTTATATTTGAGGTACAGCCTCGTGAGTTTCTTCGCAACGGGGCCCGGAATTTTCGGGCCGGTTCTCGAATCCTCGACCAGGTCGAGAATTCCCAGGGTATCTCGAAAGGGCCTACTCAAATCGAGGCCTGATAATCCCCCTAACCTCACAAGAGCCTCCGACCACGTGGGGCCGGACAAATAATAGAATCTTAGGATTTACCTTCGCACTAAACTTTCGATATTTCCTCTTGACTTTTTGAGGTTATCCCTGAGATCCGGCACACGCGAGGTTACGTCCGCACATCGAGGTTACGTGACTAGTTTGGAGAGGCTCCGAAGACCGCGAGTGGCGAACAAGGACTCCACTCGTACCACTCCCGGGAGATCGCCTCGCCTCGCGCATCTCACGGCCAGCGAGCGTCTGAGCTCCTCGCTACGCTGCCGCGCGATTATATACCCTCCTATGACGTCACGCGGCGCGCGCGCCCTGATTGGCCCGCCTCCCCCGGCAGCGGCCAATCGGGCGCGCGGACCAGTCGACCGTTCGAACGGTCAACGGTTTTCCGAGGCGAGGCCGGTTTCCACTCTTGCGAGGCGCCGAGGCTCGGAATAGTCCTCGGCTTCTCGATGTTATAAACCTAAAGTCTCCCGAGAGATGATACTCGGTGTTGCCAGATTGCGGATTTTACGGATCGGCCTGCATTTAACTCGTTTCGAGGACGATTTGAGGTATTCAGGCGTTAGGTCATTCTATATATATATGTATCAAACGTCGAAATGCAAAACTTTTCAGGTCTGAGAGGTTCGTGGGGTCATTTTTGAAAATCGGGATAAGCCAATCCGGTTAACGGGATTCCGGGAGGCCGTTTAGGTCAGTATTGAGAATTTATCGTTTTATCACGTCCAAGGAACGGTACTATGGATTCGATCGAGAAGAATTATCGAAGGCGGATCCTGAACGAGTGGAGTTACTGCTTTATGGTGTTACTCCTCGGTAAAACAGGCTTTTCTAAACACCTGCGTTTGTTTTTGTACGAAAATAAAATGTCCAGACCGTCACTTTGTGTTCATTCAAATTTATCCTCCTTCCACGTTATCTATTTTAAGAAATCCACTAAGAGGAAACCGACTTGGGGAAATCCTTTTCTGCTAAACCCCGGAAAATACGTGTCCCCTGATAAATCCAATCCGGGGAAGAGATAAGCTATTTTATCGACCTTCGGTGAGAAATCGAACGGAATTAGCGGTCCAGATAATCGGCTTATCAGACCGATCACGAGGATACTTCACGTGTCGTTAACAATTTGACCACGGAGCCATCTCGACATATGGGCGAAATTCCCCTGACCGTGCGGGGGATATTCGACCAAACGTCGGGCGCCTTTAGACGCTCTTAGTAGCCAAAGAGTTAAATAATATATTTCTTCGGTCAAATGAATTTTTATTTTCGCAGTTTAGAGGAAAACCTCCGTTAAACCTCGATTTTCTTTTTCATATCGCATACAAGTCATCGATTAACCCTTTGACCACGGAGCCATTTCGACATATGGGCGAAATTCCTCTAACCGTGCAGGGGATATTCGACCAAACGTCAGGCGCCTTTATACGCTCTTAGTAGCCAAAGGGTAAAAAATGCGTTTTCCTCCATTTCGATACTTCCAACGAGAAAAAAAAAAGATGGGCATATTTAACTATCTAATCCAGGTAAAAAAAATTGAAATTCTGGTTTTTTTAAATGGACACGTTTTTTTTTTTTGTATTGCGATACAGGGAGGAAAATGATTTTCTCGCTCCAGATTTTTCCACGGTGTGGGAACCCTCAAAAATGCTTTTTATTCAGCTTCCCGCCGAGATCGATCCTCGACCACGGTTGCAGTTTCCCGACTTCCGGCGCTGCAGGCGACGCGCACGTCCATTGCGCAACCGGACCACGTGCCGCAAGCGGACGATTTCCGCGCGGGATTGACCGGAGAAAATTCCGCTCCTAATTGGACGGAATTTTATCCCGGGCTTTACGATCGGAAAACTGGAGAAAGGGCTAGCGGAACAATTCGTTCCGATGACTCAGAAACCCGGAAATGACCTATTGTATACATTTTCTATGTATTTATTATTGTATTCATTTGTAAATATTATTCGAAATTAATTCCGAGCTCACGAGGCTGTACCTGAAAAAGTGCACTTCACACTACGCAAGATGAATAGATTTATCTTCAAGCTTTACTAATTAAATATGAAATATGAGAAATATCCTTGGATAATTCTGAACGACTTACCTGATGGTAACGGCCAGCAAGACGATGATAACGCCGACCAACACCATAGCGATCAAAACGCCGCATATCATATACACGCTATCAACAGGTGGATCTAAAAAAAAAAATAAAAATTCAACAATTACTATCACTGTCTAAAATTAATCTCGATATGAAAATAAACGTTAAATTAAACCGGTGGTTGCGTAAATCCTCGGAAAAGAGGAAACTCCACTTGAACTTGCCTTACGGTCTAACCAAATTACCGATTAATTAGCGCCACCACGTGGACTAGTAATTACCGATTCGCGGAAGGAAATTATTCACATCTGCCGACAAAGCGATCGAGCGCAATTGCGGGATGTCCACAAAAGATATTCCGCAAATGGAAAGCACCGTCCTCGAGGAAACGCGCCGCAAGGCGGGTTTAGAGTCCGCGACGTAATCGCATGCGTAAAGGCCTTCGCAGATGGTGCCTCGTGTATGCCATTAAAAATATTCATAGAAACACTTCTAGCATGCTCGAGAATAAAAAAAAAAGAATAAAGGTTAACATAGATACGTCCGGTTAAATGATTTCCTACGTACATCGCCGAAAAACCTCTTAATTAAGATAATGTCCGATTACTAAACCCCGATCGATTTTTATTTTAGACTCTTGAACCGAGAAATAAATTTCCGATCTTTAAGATAAACATTATTATATCCATTTAATGGAATTATGCGGAACATTCAAGATGGCGTCTCGCTTCGATCAGTTCTTTGGCCAGGCCTTAGGGTTATGATTGCGGTAATTATTATGAGAGTTATCACTATTCTCTAAGGACGCATTTAGTCTTAGATTCCCTTTGTTTTCTCCGACCTTCCGAGCTCGTGCGTCAGTAAGCGTCGATCGAGAGTTTGACTTTTCCTTGGCGTTCCTCTTGGTGAGCGTCAGCTCGATCCGCCATCTTGGATGCACAATAACGCCGAATGAAACCGCTTTTATACGAGATATAACCGTTTTAATGATGAATAAATCTCCCAAAAATGTGGCGAATATGTCAAATAAGCTAAAAGTGGCTAAACTATCTAGTTTATCTATCTAGATATCGCCAACATGATACCAAATAATGAGTGCAGAAATGACAAGAAGAGCATCGGCTCGGCCGCCATCTTGGATGCACAAGAACACCGAATGAAATAGCTTTTATACGCGATATAACCGTTTTAAAGCCGAAGAAATTTCTCTAAAGAGTGGGAAACACCGCGAAAAATCAGCGGCCACTATTTTCCGCCTCCTTTCCGCATCGAGAATCGCGTAAATTCGCAAGAGAGAACGGCCGACGTTAACGAGTAGATAAATTCCCGGAGAAATATGGCCGGGGTTTCTTAGCGCGTTTTGCCCAGCTATTGTTGGCGAGAAATCGAGTGCCGGATTATCTCGAAGACGAGAAATTTAGGACCCTCCAAAAAAGGGTAGAAGACACCAGAAGACGCCTCGCCATAAATAAATAAACTTTCACGAAGGACGTAAACTGATATTGTCATTTTAGCCAGACCAATTATACTACACTTTCGAAATTCAATTAATAATTGTATTAATATCTCAAGGCGCATCGCGCTAGGAATTTATTTACAAACGTATACAATGCACCTTTGACTTCTGGAATTTTTAACGTGACTAAAACCTTAGGATGAAAGCGTAGGAATTTTTCCGGGCATTTTTAACGAGGCTAGAAAGGCCGCCGCCATTTTGCGCGGCGCAATCGTTTCGCATAAAGAGAGAAAAAGAGAGAAAAAGCGAGAACACGGTCTCTTTGTGTTCTCTTTCATGTCTACTGTTTTCAAGATTAGATATCGGAACAGTTCGTGTATTTCAGGTCCGAGTTTGAAACGCAATCCTCGATATTGATAACGATGACTCCCACGAATCCGAAGAGGAAGACGAAGAGAAAATAATTCTCCTTTGCTCTTAGTCCCATAAGAAGATCCCCTTACAAATGGCCATAACTTCCAGGAAGTCCAGCACCCCTAACCATGGTTTAGTCTGGCTAGAAGAGCAGCAAGCCAACAAAAAAAAAATGGTCTTATCACGCCACGTTCCCAAGGGGACTTGGACCCTTCAGGGTGGGTGCGCATCCTGTTTTTTTTTCAGGATTCCAGCCAAACGGCGAGAGATAGAGGAAAATGGTATTAAGGAAAGTTGTACAGCTGGAAGGGCCGCGCAACTTTTGTCCGAGGCATTTTGTCATGTCTGGTCGCGTACAGCAGCCATTCAACGTTCTTCGACTGGGCGGCGTGATTCAGCCGTCCGTGTCCCACATAAGGGGAGACAGAAGTGAACGGAGTTCTCCCGATCGAGGAAAGTTTCGCCTCGACACTCTTTCGCCATTGAGAGCCTTCGATCTATCTCGCGAGAGGAAGATACTTTCTCGAAAAATTGCCAAGGCCATGTGGAGACTGCGGAGGTCCTCCAAGAGGGAGTTACGTTTGTTTGAACCGAGTTAGAGCCATCACTGCTCTCGATCACGTGGCGTCCGGAGTTCTCGATCAGAGTCGAGTTCTATCCGGAAAATCGCCTCCGTATCCGTATCGGGGAATCGGAAACCGCAGACTGGGAGCAGTGACACCTGTTCCTCGATCTTGTCGAACAAACGAGAAGAGTACGACAAGGCGGTTCCCTTGAACGTCGAACTCGTTTCCTCGACAAGTCGAAGAGATACCGGCCGGCCTTGGGCCTGGACTTCTCCTCCGAGGATTCCTTAACCTTCCACGAAGATTTACGCATTAAACTACCCGGCCCGGTCCTTCCGCCGCGTCTCCGACGTCGATTCCGTCATCCACAAAATTTCCCCGATTTTTTGCGATTTATCTGCGCGTCGAAATGCGGAAGAAATCCAGCCAGGAGGAAGAAACGAGGGATTTCCTGCGCCTACGGGACGTCGGATAGGAAAACCCCCCTAATGAAACTTATTACTCGAGATGTCCTCTACAACTTTTGTTTCGACCATTTTTCTATATTCCGCGCGGTTATATCATAAATCCCAGAGGTTATCTCGCGACGCGTCGACGAACGTCTGCGCGTCGATATGCGGAAGAAATCCAGCCGGGAGGAAGAAACGAGGGATTTCCTGCGCCTACGGGACGTGGGATAGGAAAACCCCCTTAATGAAACTTATTACTCGAGATGTCCTCTACAACTTTTGTTTCAACCATTTTTCTATATTCCGCGCGGTTATATCATAAATCCCAGGGGTTATCTCGCGACGCGTCGACGAACGAGGGTGGACGCGCGACATTGATGACTTGTCGATCAAGAGCGATGATAACATCATCCCGCGATAATGGCTTAACATATTCACGGAAGTCTAATCAGGAAATCGCGAGAAATCGCGGTTTTATCTCCTAGAGAGATTCTGACATCGAGGTATCATCCATTGATAAATCTGATGTCATTAGACAAAAGTGGATTTGATCGCAACTAATCTAATCGTTAGAAAAGAAAATAAATTATCAAATAATTCTCGGACTTGAATGTCGAGGAAATAGTCGTTATCAGTAAGAACATCGCGTTATCATCTCTCGTATGGCCAAGGCATCGATTTCGGCCAGTGAACCTCGATTGCATTTAACAAGGTCTAAAGACTTCAAGTAGGGTTAACGATGCGTTTACACCGGGGATTAAGCCCCCATAGCGACGATATATCAGTTTACAAGGCAGACGATCTCGGTGGAGGAGATCCCTTTCCCATTTTCCGGAAAACTTATCATAAACTTCGAAAATAAATAAAAAATTGAAACGAATCTTTTATCAGTACCAAAAACGTATTTTGTTAATCCAAGGAAGAATGATCTGACCCAGAGATCGAAGGTAGCAGATCTCCTTTCTTTCCCCGGAAGTTTAAGGAGGATCTAAGCCCTTGATAAACCTGCAATCGATCCCAGAATGCGATCTATTTCGATCTACGGACTTTTCGAAGGTCTTTCGCAAATGCAGCAGAAACTCACAACGATAATATTTACGCAGACGGGAATAAATATTTTCCGAGGTCCGGTCTTCCCTAGATTTCAGGCGTCGTCATCGATCCCGAGAAAATGATCGATCGATCGACCCATCGACGATTTTTTTCTCTCGCAAGATCGAAGGTAACGCCAACGCGATGTCGACATTTCTGATCCGATCCGAATTTTCAATATAATCAATCTGATAAATTCTCCTTAAATGATAATTTCATATTTCATAAATTAGGATATTTTTTAATTATGATATTTCATTATTAAGGTGACGTGAGAGTGAAGACGTCTACGATTTGATAGCATATCAAATAATTAAAAATGATTTTCCATTTTTCCAAAATTCCACATAGATAATTTCGTATTTCATAAATTGAGATATTTTGTTAATTAGGATATTTCATTGTTAAGGTGACGTCAAAGCGTGACGTGAGAGAGAAGACGTCTGGGAAGGATAACGTAACGATTTGATAGCATATCACCGTACGCGTGCTCCGGACACAAGTCCGGAGGGATAAAGAGTTCGCGGAAAGCCCACGCGGCGGTTCCGTGCCGTAGAGGCCGCATCGCTGCATGTCTCGGTATCAGAGTCCTCCCTTAGAGCCTCCACAATCACGTGGTAAAATTTCAAACGATTCGATACGCCCAGTTTCGAGAAAAGTGTAACAAGCTACTCGAGTGCGCCCTTCGTCTCGCCTTATGGGCGCCATTCACATACGGGCGAGATTCCCTTGACCGGGCAGGCGATATTGGACCAAACGTCGGGCGCTCTTAGTAGCGAAAAAGTTAAATAATATATTTCTTCGAAATGATAAATCGTAGCGACTTGTACTTGTATATAAAAATCGCTACACACCTAACGATAAATCGTATCCACGTGTAAGTGCCACTATACACCTAAAAGACCCTAGGGAGTTTATAAGCGAAAGTCTTCCGTCGATCTAGGGGATCCATTTCCTCGTTAAGATGTCTCCCAGATATTTATAGCGAGAGGGATTGACCGCAATGAGCGATTAACGTGCAAAAATAACCCCGGCAAGCCGTTATCAAAGATAAGCCGAGTCCATTATCAAAGTCGCTCCGAGAATAGTAAATCCGCGAATAACACCAGACAACGTCTTCGGATCTTCTCCTCGGTGGCACCGCGATAAACCCCGACATAAGTCCGGTACTTAGGGGAAAAAAAAAATCACTAGGAAAAAAAAATCACTAGGAAAAAAAAACTAGGGAAAAATGTAATGACACATTGTCCTATCCACTTTTACGAGTTACGTCTCGAGAGGAACCTACGAGATCACCTCGGGTCAGACTAATTGCGGCTGTACTTTCAATTAATTAATTATAAGTACTCGCGTTTCAATTAATTAATTAAAAGTACTTTCGTTCCCTCGGCCCTATCGCTCGCGAAACCGGGCGATACGCGACTACGTAATTGCCGTGTAATTGCCGGTCATTACGAGTAATTGCGTCGCAAGATGGTCCCTCTCGTTGCGTGACTTCGAAAATTGCGCAAATTGCATATTTTCCATCGTGCGAGGAAATTCAACTCACCCGACCTGGGAATCTCGCCGATAAACCGGGGATTAATCCCTGGATTAACAAAACGGAGATTAACTCTTAACTTTGAAATTTTCAAAAAATCAAAAAAATGCCTACGCCTTTATTTTGGATAAGAACGTTTTAATTCTTAAAGAAAAAAAAAATTCTTGAAAAACCGGAATTTTTGGGTCAAAGTGGTGTGACCCCTTAAAAAGATTACATTAAAGTGTGTTAAAGTTTAAAAAAAAATTAGAAAATCACTCTTGACGTCCCATTAAGTCCTAGTCTCGTCATTAACGAAGTATCGTTAATTGGTGCAGAACTCATTAACGGTGTCGAACGCGAAAAAAAAAAAATATATCGCCTTTGGATAAACCGAGTGACGCACGAGGTCGATCAGCTGTTCTTCCGTCTCACGTCGTTAATTGTGACGTGGAAAAACAAGGGGATAAAAAAAAAATAAAATAGACCGACACGTCACCTGGGACGATTCACCTGTAAACGAGGATTTCCGTAACGACGCCTTTCACGGTGACGCGCTTTGCCTTTACTCGACGTCGACGTCGACGATATCGACGTCGACGCAATCAAAATCGATATACGACGCGAACAAAGCCTCGGGTTTATATATCGAGATATCGCGGACACGGCTTTTTTACCCGAATAGAAAATGAACACGTGATACGAATCAATGTATTTCGGTGAAGACTCGAGTGCAGAAATGAAACGTGAAAAAAAAAATCCGTAAATCGGTTTAGATAATTGAACTTGTCGAGGAGGTCCACGTGGACGTCTTATCCCACGGCGTCCCGACGTTTGCATTTACGCGAACGAATTGTTACGCTTGGAAGCATAAATTTCAAAAGACAATGCACTAATTATTCCTCGCAAATCCAGACAGAAGTTATGTATATTAACGAGACACGTAAATCATTCTGCTACGCCACGTGCTCGAGGTGTACGAATTTTATGAACACGTGTAACAATGTGCACCACGTGGCCGAGATTTTTCTCACTTTTTTTCCGTGGCCAAAAAGTGTCTCCTCGACAAATTTCATCTCTTACAACAAATTTTCAAAATACCCATGAAGAAATTTTCTAACAAATTTAAGATTTAACGGAGGTTTCCCTCTACCTCGCGAAATTGAACATTCATTCAATCGAAGAAATATATTATTTAACTTTTTGCCTACTAAGAGCGCCTAAAGGCGGCGGACGTTTGGTCGAATATCCCCTGCACGGTCAAGGGAATTTCGCCCTTATGTAAAATGGGTCCGTGTTCGAAGAGTCAATAACTAAAATCCTCTTAACTAGGCGCATCAATTATCATAACCAAAAATTGACATTAACTGCACTTAGCAACCACTCGAAGACGCGTTTTTCTCGCCGCAGCGGCGAAGGATGCGGCCGGCTGGCGTCACGTCCTCCTTCGGCAGGTGCAATACGGCCGCGCCGACAGATGCGGAGAATCCGCGCGATTTTTACGCCCAGTTAGACGGCCCGGGCTCGTAAAAGGCGGAAAGGAAAAAAAAAAGAAAAAAGAAAAACAACGTTAAAGACGATTGTCGCGCGTTAAGACCACGTGCGTCATTCGCTTTGCGAGAGGAACCACCTGTTGCCCCCTAGGGGGGCGCGATGCGCGCATTCCGCGCGTTTATTCCGCGGTCCCGCGGCCCGAGGGGGGGTCTAATCGCGCGGCCGGGCCGCGCGTGTCGCGGCGGTTCCGCATGCGGCGAGATATCCCGCCTCGAGTCGTGCATCTCTGATAAGCGCTATCAACGTATAGTGCACTATCCTTCCTTTCTCTTTCCCTTTTTAAAAAAAATTCCCTTCGTGGGTCCGGGAATTTAAGGTGATATGAAAATGAATAGTTAATTGATCATTGATAATAAAAATTATTTTTATAATAAGTAAGTGTACCGAATTGTTTAAACACTTTATCGCGTCGATATGTAGGCCTTGAAGGAGGTCTTGACAATGAGTTTCCCTGTTTATTAATTTTATTAATTTTTTTTTTTAGCTCGATGTATCTTTGCTTGCTCAACGGCATCGGGTGCGGAAGCCCACGTGTCGTGTGGATTCCGCTTGCGATCCGTCTGCGGTTTCACGTTGCGGACCGGCACGCGTGCGAAAACTGCAGAGAAAGAGTCTCGTCGTTTCCCTCCGACCCCCTTCTGACATTATCCTTTTTGACACGTGTTGCAGACATTGCAAAATTACTTCCGACCTCTTTTAACCTCCTTTCGACTCTAAGAGAAACGTATAGAATTTTTTATCAATTAATTAGGGGCTTCTTTTTTTAACCGTGGAAAATTGATACGTACGTTTTATTTTTTCACGCGTGTTGCAGACATCGCAAAATTATTTCCGACCTCTTTTAACCTCCTTTCGACTCTAAGAAAAACGCATTGAAATTTTTCCCCACACTTCGAGATAAATATCGCAAATTAGGGGTTTCTTTTTTTAACCGTGGAAAATTGATACGTACGAGGGAGCGGTTCGCCTTCTCGAGTTTCCATTATGAATCGATATCGAGGAGCATTTCCTTGATCGACTTCCGGCAGGAGGCAAATATATTTCCCGGCCTTCCATAAATTGGTCTCTATTTACGGACACGAGGGTTAACGTTCCCGCGGAGGACGAAAATAGACAATACTCGATTGTAATCATAAAAAAAAAAAACGTCGAGATAAACGAGAATTTATTAATAAAGTAAATAAAAATTGAAATTTCGAGAGTTTCAGGACCTACCTTAGGATCTCTATATTCCCGCTTTAAAGTATGAAATTATTTGACACCCCCAGTTCTATGAAAAGTTTTACGAATGATTAAGCTTTCGCATCCCCTTATCAGTATCCGCAATTCCCTTGATTACGGTAACCCGGAAAAGCCGCATGCCGCGAGAAATTAATGAGTGACTCACCGAGGTGTGACAATGATTGCAAGGAATCTGAAACAATAAAAGGAACAAAAGGGTTAATAACAAAAACGGAGGAATCGCGTACGCGTTTAAAGAGTTTATCGAAGGCGCTCGGCTCGATATTCCACGGAGTTAAAGTTCAAGGAGAGGAGAGCAACGTCGATCGCAACACTCTCGACCTGAGGTGACGCAAGGCGCGATATATAAAAAAAAAAAAGAAATTAAAAATAAAAAGAAGGAAAGCGCGAGAGTTCTCGAAATTAGTGACGATTCGCCGCTCTCGGTGAAACGAGTTAACTCGTGTGTCCTTGGGTATTTTTTTTTACGGACGTGGAGGAAAGGGATGAAGTATCAATGCTTATCGACGTCGATTGGTCGCCAACGACCTTAAATAGAGATAAATTTAGATTAATCTGGAGTACTTGGGTGTTAATACGTATTTTTTATGGACGTGGAGAGAAGGGATGAAATATCAATGTTTATCGAGTATTCCTATATCGACGTCGATTGGTCGTCAACGACCTTAAATCGAGATAAATTTAGATTATTCTGCAGTACTCGGGTGTTAATACGTATTTTTTAGGGACGTGGAAAGAAGGGATGAAATATCAATGCTTATCGAGTATTCTAATAATATCGACGTCGATGGGTCGCCAACGATTTTAAATCGAGATGAATTTCCACCAGTCTGGGGTACTCGCATATGTATTTTCTAGGGACGCGGATAAAAGGGATGAAAAAATATCAATGTTTATCGAGTACTCTAATAATATCGACGTCGATGGGTCGCCAACGATTTTAAATCGAGACGAATTTCCACCAGTCTGGGGTACTCGCATATGTATTTTCTAGGGACGCGGATAAAAGGGATGAAAAAATATAAATGCTCATCGAGAATTCTAATAATATCGACGTCGATCAGTCGCCAACGATTTTAAATCGAGATACATTTCGACCAATCCAGGGTCTATGGGTATTTTCTAGGGACGCAGAGGAAAGGGATGAAAAAAATATCAACGTTTATCGAGTATCCTAATAATATCGACGTCGATGGGTCGCCAACGACCTTAAATCGAGACGAATTTCGACCACTTTGGGATCGCCGCCGACCAATCTGGGGTGACTCGTGCGTCAATGCGTATCTTCGAGGTACGCGAATAGTACAGGCACCCTAAAATGCGTGTTGGTACTATTTTCGAGTGGCCTGGATCGAGATGCGTTTCGTCGACAGAAGGGAGAGGGTAATACGAACTAAGTAGAGGGAGAAGAGCCGAAGGAGAGGGAGAAAGAAAAGGAGAAAGACGAAGAGGAGATCTCGGATGCAGGGTCTGTTGCTAACCGTGGTCGCCTAGGGTATTTCTGGCGGTATGGCGGGTTAAAAACACCGTTTAAAATTCCCGAAAAAAGATCCGAACCCTTTTGGTACACCCGAGAAGCAAAAAAAAAAGGGAGAAGTTTAATGACACGACGCGCCTGGTTGAACACGGAGGCATTTTACATAAGGGCGAAATTCCCTTGACCGTGCAGGGGATATTCGACCAAACGTCGTCCGCCTTCAGGCGCTCTTAACGACGCGCCTGGTCAATCCCTTGAACACGGAGGCATTTTACATAAGGGCGAAATTCCCTTGACCGTGCATGGGATATTCGACCAAACGTCGTCCGCCCTTAGGCGCTCTTAGTAACAAAAGGATTAAGGCGATACGAAAGGGTGTTATCACAAAGTCTATTGACAAAGTATTCTAGCGATTGCGTAGTCACGAGAGATCATTAAGCGGCATTAAAACTATTAATAAAACGATCCCGGTCGCGGCGAAGAGGATATGACTGCGGACAATGGTTCCGGGTACTCGAGGAGCATTTCCATCCGACTTGAAAATATAAATAAATATAATAGGTCGACCTTGTCCTTAACACCGAGGCGGAAGTTCCGGTCGATACAGCTGACGGGGTGCATTACGTGTATGCGATGCAATTTCCCTTGACCGTACCTTGAATTGCAGCAACGCTCGATAATGCACGTGTACTGCAACTTCAATGCGAGACTTCGTGTGTACGGAAGCCGTTTCGACATACGGGCGAGATTCCCCTGACCGTGCAGGCGATATTCGACCAAACGTCGGGCGCCTCTATGCGCTCTTAGTAGCCAAAGGGTTAAACGATATATTTCTTCGGTTAAATGAATTTGTATTTTCGTAGTATAGAATAAAACCTCGGTTAAATCTCGATCTCGAGGTGTTTCTTCTTTTTCATATCGCATACAAGTCATCGATTAACCCTTTGAAGCCATTTCGACATACGGGCGAGATTCCTCTGACCGTGCAGGCGATATTCGACCAAAGGGTTTAAACGTGCAGGAATTAAAATCGAGAAATCCCCCGAAATCCCGATTATATCTAACCGCGATGCAATAAACAATTTCTGCAATGCATCTGCGTCTCGGAGGGTGCCCTTGCAGAAATAAGCCGACTTCGCAATCCGATATCCGATTAGCTCGCGAGTGACAAAATATTGTCGCGTTCCGATCGCGTTGCGCCGCAGATATGACACGCCGATAAAACGATGAAATCGGCGTAGTCGGATGAAAATATTATCGCCCGGTCGGCCGATAACGGCGAGCCGCCGAGGAAACACCGAAACGAACGAGCGGAATCGTCCCGGAGGAAAAAGAAAAAAAAAGAAAAAAAAAAAAGAAACCATGCTCCGTCCGCGACAAGAACACGGCAGAGTTTCGCGCCAAGTGCAATATCTCGAGTCCTCGCAAAACCGACTTTTGGCCTCTTGTCAACATACAAATTGTCAAACTATCTCTTAGAATGCCAAGACGCTTTTAATCACGGTCAGAAACTGTCTTTTAACCTCTTCTCCCCGACGAAGTTGGCGGACGATGATAAACCGGCGGCCATTTTGAATCTACACCCTCGGAGATAGCCAAATTTTCTATTAAATTAAATTATCTGGAATTAAGACTGAAAATTGTATATCACATTATAATTGTATTATTTTATAACAGTACCTAGACGACGCGTCGGCGGAAGTGCGATAAACCGGCGGCCATTTTGAATCTATACTCTCAAAGATAGCCAAATTTTCTATTAAATTAAATTATCTGGAATTAACAGTGAAAATTGTATATCACATTATAATTGTATTATTTTATCACAGTACCTAGACGCCGCGTCGGCGGAAGTGCGATAAACCGGCGGCCATTTTGAATCTATACTCTCAAAGAAAGCCAAATTTTCTATTAAATCAAATTATCTGGAATTAAGACTGAAAATTGTATATCACATTATAATTGTATTATTTTATCACAGTACCTAGACGCCGCGTCGGCGGAAGTGCAAGAAACGAAAGGCTGCAGGAAGTGGTCGATTTTTTATTCTCCCATTTTATATATGTGTATAAAATGAAGATATATGTATATCTTCATATACATATATATCTTCTTTTACTTCGCCGCCGCCTTTTGACGTCTCGCGTTTCGTCGGCCACGTGACTCCCCGTCACGCTTTTTCCGCGTCCTCCGGAGGACGTGACGTCGCCGCTCGATTGCGTTTAATTGCCGGTGGCGACCGCTTAAATGGGATCATCACTCGAGATGAGAAGTCACGTTAGAATGTACTTGGCTCGAAGCTCTACCGAATTTCTTTCCTCCCCCGGGACGATATACAAGACTTAATCGAGCATTGTTCAACATTAGACAAAAGACGAGGTCGGCCGACAAAGACCCGGAAGAGGGAGGCGATCGATCACTGTCGATCCAGATCCGATGAGATTTAATTAAAAATTCCCCCGAGCTCAAAGATTGCGATCGATCGCCCTCCGAGAAACTGCATAACGATGCAGTATGCACCGCAATCATATTTATTAACTTATAATCTATTCATTTGATAAACGGTTCCTTTTTTTCATAGCGTCGACATCTTCCTTTCGTATCGCCTTAAGGATTAACAAGGGAAAATGATAATATTTACAAGTGAATTGTTGAAGGAGAAAAAAAAATGACGTTGCACCGCCACTTTCTCATCGCGTTAAAATATAAACAAAAAATATTTACAAGTGAATTGTTGCAGTGAATCGCCTTAAAAAGTATAAACAAAAAATATTTACAAGTAAATTGTTGAAGTGAATCGCCTTAAAATATAAACAAAAAATATTTACAAGTGAAATGTTGAAGTGAATCGCCTTGAAATATAAACAAAAAATATTTATAAGTGAGTTGTCGAAGGAGAAAAAAAAAATGACATTGCACCGCCACTTTCTCATCGCGTTAAAATATAAACAAAAAATATTTATAAGTGAATTGGAGGAGAAAAAAAGATATGACATTGCACCGCCACTTTCTTATCGCCTTAAAATATAAACAAAAAATATTTATAAGTGAATTGGAGGAGAAAAAAAAATATGACATTGCACCGCCACTTTCTCATCGCGTTAAGACGATATTTTTTGCAGGCCCCGTCGGCGGGGATTAAAATTTATTTAAATTCGTTTAAGCCGGATTCAGCTCGCCGAGTGACTGTCACGTGCAGTCCGAGTGCATTCAGGAAGCAGCTGGTCCGTAAAACGCGTAAAGGCCGAAGTCGTACTTGCGAGGGACGAAAGGGTTAAATGACAATTGAACCGAGGCCGGTCAATATTGCTCCCTCGAAATGTTAATGCCGTCTCGACATAAATTCGCGGGTAAGCAGCGCCTAAAGGTGGTCCCTACACGTGGGATAAATAAATAAACAAATAAACAATCTCTACAGACTTGGCGGATCGACCTAACATTGTTAATAATATTAACAAGATGACTAACGAGACATTAAATTCCACCGAATTACTATTATCGCATAAACAATTATCAAAATCGATCCAACTTAATAAGTCTTTATCCTACCATTAGAAATGTTTATTTACCATCCACATCTAGGTGGTATTTATTTAAACAATCGTAGCAACTGATCGGCTGGCATAATATTCCCGATCGATTAATTTCATTAACAATATTTGCTAGACACTTGCGCAATTGGCAGGATCAACTTTTAACGTAATCCAAGATTATTGATAACAATTCAGGAAATCCCGTATATCGATAACGTTTGTATCGATCGAATCGATTATTGCCGATCGATTGGAGCGCCGTCGGTTAACGCTCAGCTGATCAATCGCCGGTCTGATAACAGGTGTTTCGCGGTTGATAAGACCTTACCGACAGGTGAGCACGTGTAATCGTCCCACCTGTTGCGCCTGGTCGGTAAAGCTAACCTACACCCATATAAGGTAACCAAGAAGGTTAACGACAGCGCCCTGTGTTACCGACAGCCGACAAGCGTGGATTTCTTATCAACTTCTTATCAGGAAAAAAAAAGTCGCGGATCTAGAGCCGGCCATTAAATCGGCAACAACCAGACATATAGGGATAAATTGCATTTCCTTGAAATTCTCTCGTTACACCGGAGCAATAAATTAATACTTACAACGAGAAATTAAATTAAAATCTCATTCTATTTTTTTTTTTTAATCCTTGGTATTGCTATTTCAATGGCCAGAGTTATGGTATGAACTGACGAAATGTACTTCATGGAGATTTTTTTTTTCCTCGATTTGTTATAAAAAAAAAATTATTTATATAAAAACTCACCGGTGTCGTTTTCGTGGCCCTGGATCCCATCGCCGACATCCTCCGCAGCTGTGGAAAGTGCTGCAAAGAGGAGAAACAACGGATGTTAACAAATATATCAATAAACAATGGATAAATAACAAATAGACAGGGATGTTAATTGACTCTTTTCATGTTATCGCGCGCTCATCCAACGCGACGTATGACAAAATTCAAATTGAAATCGACAACGAAGAATAATTTAATAATTAAGAAATATACCTTTAAACACTTAATAATGAATTGCAATTCAACTGTAATTGATTATATACATTAATCAGCTGAGATGTTCATTAATCGAGTTGGAGATCGCCTTAACGACCTACAAGATTAATATTCCGATTTTCGTAATTTTTCTCATTAACAAAATGGCCGTATGAAAACTTTCCGAAATATTCCGCTTATCGGTATCAGAGAGACCGGAGATATCCCGTCTCGAAGATATCGATTCATAGAGCTCGATCGTAGGCATATCGAAGTCGAAGACGACGACCTTCGATTGATATCGAGACGGATTTTCAATTTTTATAACATACGTCCTAATCACAAAAGCCGAATAACGCATAATTAAATATTCGCCTGTTAATTTATAAAATTCTACATAAACGAGTAAACTCGAAATTAATCAAATGGACTTACACAAGAAGAAAAAAATGAAAAATTATAAACAATGGCTAAGTCCACATTCGTGATTGTCCCCTCGAATATAATATTTCGATGTAATCAAAAGAAAAAAAAAAAAAAAGAAATCGCTTAATCGAGGAATTATAAACTCCGCGTGAGAATAAAAATCCGAGGGAAGTGGCACGAGAAAAAAAGATGGAGAAAAGAAAGAGAAAGAAAAGGAGACGATATATCTCCCGAAGTTCGTCGAACTTCTGATCGGCGTACTCGAGGTCGAATGCAATTCCGAGTGCATAAATCGAGATAAGTCGATCGGGGAGATTTAAGTTCGTGGTCCGAGGTGCTCTTAACCCTGAGCCATTTCGACATACGGGCGAGATTCCTCTGACCGTGCGGGCGATATTGGACCAAACGTCGGGCGCCCTTAGGCGCTCTTAAGTAATAGGGGCTCTCGGTAGCCAAAGGGTTAAAAATACGAAAAATGCGAGAAATGACGCCAAAGTCGCACAAAGAAGAAATTCTGCGGAAATATCTTTCGCGTACCTTGAGACAAGCGATCCGGGAAAATGTCCCTTATCGACATCCTGCTTAGAGGCGAATTTTGCGAATCACGGTTTTAATTAAAAAGGCTAGATCGATAATCGACCCCGATTAAAGATCACGCGTTACCCGAGTTTCGTTCTCGTCCCGCACGTGTCGCAACCGATCGCTTTCTTTTCTCTCTCTTTTTAATTTCACAACGTCGATTCAGGAGATAATTACCGGCGAAGATCCCGGGGGCGATAGGATCGATAGGAGCCGTCGTAAGATCGAATTAAGTGTATCGATAGCTTGGATGTTTAAAGTATTAATAAAACTCACCGTCCTTCGGTATATAAATTTGTTTGATTTAATTATAAGTCTTAACTATCTCCTCTTTCGCCTCCGAAGGATGTAAGAAATATATTTCAAAGGGTTAAATTAAATTAATATTGAATTCAAAAATATACTTCAAAGGGGTTAAATTAAATAAACATCGAATGCAAAAATATATAATATTTCCAAGGGTTAAATTAAATAAATGTTGAATCCTCCATTACCATCATGCTCGCCGATGTCGGCGTGATGCACCGCGAACTCCAACATCGCTCAGGCTCGATTTCGTTGCACTTTCTGCCCTCTTCCCTTAATTTCCCTCGTTGCACTTTCCTCCCCCTTAAGCCCTTATTTCACCGCGGCGTCGCGGCGTCCTTCGCGCCCGCCTCTACTTGACGCATTGTCCGCCGAGGGTGGAGGCGTCGTTGCGGATCATCCGCCGTCGGCGGACCCCCCGCAAAGCGTCCCGCCGAGCCGCCACTTTTTCCGCCGCGGAAAGATATGCGATTTCCCTCCTCCAGTCCGCGTCCTTTTATATACCCAGTTAAACTTCTCGACACGCGTTCTTACGGCGGAAAATGTTTATTTCCCTTTATTGTTTACATTCCAGGTTACGAACTAGAAGAGGGGATTTATGTTCTCTTGTTTCCATGTACTTGAAGCTACATACTTTATATAATTTATGCCGTTATGTATTGAGTGTATATACTCGAGGAGGGAAACTCGAAATCCGGGAAAACCCAACGCTTTCCGGGCGGAAAGGACGCCGACTAAAGGGCGTCGCGAGAACCACCGGCCGACTGAGGCGTCCCGACGCGCTTTCGCTTATATAGGCCGAACTTTACGACAGGTGAGAGCTGATTAGATAGCCATCGAGAGCACCTCACCGGTGCAGGTTATTCAAATGATCGCGCCTTATCGGAGAGGTCCGGACGGTTGGGCGGTTGGACTCGGACTGAAGGTCCGACCGGCGAATCGCACCCTCGTCGGTCGTGGTTTTTCCCGACGCCGTTACGGAGAACGGTGATAAGGATATGGCGACGTCTCCGAAAGTCGCGGTGGAAATTATGGAATACCGGCGAGAGGGTATGATAGTTCTTACGAGGTCTTTCCGGCTGGGCGGCTCGACGCAGACTGAAGGGCGGAGCGCGGCGGCAGCGCCCTTATTGGGCGCTCGGTCGGGTTCGGGAGTGTTCGGCAGCTCACCCGATCTCCACCGAGGGTCCTACCGGGGTCCTAGCGGGGTCCTTCCAGGGTCCTTCCAGGGTCCTTCCAGGCGGACGGCTGGTCGCAGACTGATGGGTACAGAGGGCGCGCCCTTATTTATAGGGCGCTCGGTCGCGTTCGGCAGGTGGTTCGGAAACGTTCGGCAGGTCCTTCGGAAAATCGCTCGGTCGCACTCGGACCACGTGCCGGACCACGTGCTATTACCGAATATCCCTAGCACTTCGCCAAAGGAGATAAAATGTTTTTAAAAATCACCACCGCGGGAAAATTGATTTAAATCACTGCGAAATAATATGGGCACCCTTATCGGAGGTCCTTCCTCGTCGACGGTCGAACTCGGACTGAAGGTCCTCCTCCGATCGAAAAATCGCGACATTCCAGAAGATGTCGAAGAAGAGCAACGATAAGAATACTTTGATGCCTTCGAAAGTGGCGTGGTAAACAAGGAGCACTAATCGATCGACGATTTTGTCGTAAACATTGTAAACGCGTGATAAGACCAGTCTCCTTATCTGGTCCTAAGCTCCGACGAGTGCACGAGGAATTCCGCACGGAATATTCGGGCGGAATGAACGCCGACTAAATATAATCCCCCGTTAATTCCAGCCAGTTAACCGACAATAAATTTTAATCTCCGGTTAGCCTGATTAACTTCCCCTGCGACGGTAATTAGATTAATCTGAAAATTCAGAAATTTTTCCTCGTTTCTCTTTTTTTTTTCTGGATTCCGCCGACTCGCGGTATGCAAATTAATCCTCGGCATGTTTTCCTCGCATTTTCATGAAATGACTCAACGACGATTACTCGATGACGTCTTTATAGAACGGCAGATAACGAGAGCAAATTTTTTTTTCGTCATTTCGTCAATAAATACGATCGAGAACCTTCCAGTAGATTTTAACGAAGGAAAGGAAACAAATGGATCTTTGAAGATAATAATAAATTAATAAATGAATAAATAATATAAATGAGTACTATTGTCCCGGGAATCCTGATAGCGGAAAATACCCTCTCATGATTTGCGCACCGATCCTAAGTGATAAATAAGTAGACGAATAAATTAATTAAAAATGAGGACCTCCTCGGAAGACTCGTATAAACATTGAAAATATCTCCTAATCCTTAGACACTGTTTACCGAATCTCAGGGCAGAAGTTATCGCGCGAAACTTCGCAAATACAATTGCAAAATGCCAAGAAAGTCGGACATGACTCGTTACAAACTGGAGTAAATCTCCTCCAAGGTCGGTGGAATTCCCTCGTGCAATCAGAATAATCAGCCTCGAGATTACAATTAAAAAGAAAAAAAAAAGAGACATGAGAACCAAGAGAAGAGTGACTTCCGACTCTCCGTTGTTTCCGTCCTGATAGAAAGTGTCTGTAGACTGTATAAAAATATATTACATCAATAATAAATAAAAGGTTTAGATTAAATCCTGATTAAAATCCTTTTTAAATTCCAATTTAATCCCGTAGGATGAAATCGACTCGCATTTTTCGAGTGTTTATCGAAATTTGAGAGATAGATTAAATAATAAATAAATTACTAGTTATTTTTACGACACCTGAAATTTCGCGGATTGTTTCAAGGATCAAGATTATTACTCGACGGAAATATTCCGCCGACGGAAAGTGCGATAAATCGCACGACTCGTCGGGTCGTCCGTCGACGGATCGGACCTCGTTAACGTCTTGCTTGATAGGGTCGAAGGTTGATAACGAGTAATGCTCGTTAATTCGATCCGCGTGCCGAAGCGTGCGGAAAACCGCCTCCGGAGAGGGTTCGTTAATTCGGCGACCCTGGAATCACGAGGACGTGCGTTTACACCGATAACGTCGAGTTAAATCCCACTATCAGGGGACGTCGACGCAAACTAAGTCGAAATCGAGGATTCTATTCCGAGTAAAATTTAGATCGTGAAAAATAGAATAAAAAATGTCTCTTGCACAATATTCTGAGACTATCGGTTCATTAATGACATGTCAAGTTACGTCATGAGAGGACGTCAGCGTGAATAGGGAAGGTGCAATTTTCTTCGTTAATCTCAAACTAATTAGAAATCCAGGATTCTATTCCGAGCAAAATTTAGACCGTGGAAAATAGAATAAAAAATGTCTCTTGCAAAATATTCCAAGACGAATTAATTCGCCTGTTACCGTAAAAAAGGTAAACTCGTCTACAGCGTCCTAATCGCTCCCTTTATCGAGCTCCATCAACACTCAAGCCTGTCGATTTTTCACCGGCATAATTTTTCATATCGCATCCCTCCCCGATTTCTGGAAAAGCGCAAAATGTCCTCGGGAGGAGTGGAAAAGTATACGGAGAGGAATCGAGCC